AGTCGGACTTGACCACTAAGGGACATGCTTTTCACAGCGTTAAGAGGTTAAGATGGATTAAACTAAGCCATCACATCAAAACTCTGCAGGCTGCAAGTAGCTTTCAGATCGTTGGGCTTTATAAAATAAATTAAGTGTGAAAGGTGAACTTGGACACTTTTATTTATTTCATAATGCTATAAAACTAGGGATGTGGGTTATTCGAAGGCTCCAGATTCTGGTACACTTGTGAATTATGGAAACCGCTGTAGAAATTTCTCCTAAAATATTCAGTCCAATCTAGTGTTTTTATAGGCTTAATGCCAAAAATTTTAGTACACACAGTAAATTAATAAAACCCATTTCTGACATCATTTTTCTAACATGTTTCGATAGCTGAAGTTTTTATTTTAGTTTTATTGGCCTCTTTTCTTCATAGTCTCATTTCCATTATTCCTTGGAGATTTGCCTATTGTAAATTAAACTTGAACTCTGGGTAACTGATAATTGTTGAGGTGACAGTTTCCAGTAACTGGGTTCTGCTGGGAAACAAGAAATTCCTATGGCTTTTTAAAATAGGTTGACCCTGTGGCTTTGGAAAAATCTTAATTGAAGACAAGTATTTTAGTCTTCAACAAACAAAACAAAACAAAACAGATTAGCAGAAGTTCAAAATTGTAGGATAAAGTTATAAAACAGTGGTGTATTATAAGAAACAAATTAATAATATATATTATTTTTTTAAAATAATATCAAACTTAATAATATTAAAATAATATATTTTAAATATATTCCAAATTTGTTGTTAATTAAAAGTTTTCTCTGGTCAACTGGGCCAGGCTTGACATTCAACATTAGACTGTTGGAATTACAGTAATCTGTTAAGAGAAAAATTGGTTTTTAAAGGAACTGAAGGCAAAATTATATACCTAACTTTTTTGAATGTGCTTATGTAACTAATCACGAGACAAAACTGAGGAGAAAGTTTTCATTCCCTAAGAATAATAGAGTACATAAAAGGTACGTGTATTAAGTATACTTTATTTTGCCTCAAAAAGTTTGCTGACATTCACTGAACAAGTCTGCATAACATAAAATAAAAAGATTAGGGATTTAACATGATATAAGTGTAATGAAAGTGTCCACATTTTTGTATACTAGCTGACTATTAGCCTAGTTTAGGTTCCGTGTTATAACAAACAGATTTAATTTGAATAACACCAAAGCCTGTCTTTGATCCATATGGTAAGAGGTTGAAACCACTCAAGCAGCTCTTCATTTTTTTGTCATTTAATATTTATTTTCATTTATATATATGGCACTTTAACAGGTACGATATATACTGTACTGTTCCAACCCAGTCAAGTATTTATCCAATACTATCTTCCCATGTTACTTCTCTGATCTCCAGGATTATGAAAAATAATTTTAAGCCCATTTATGACTGAGTCATATATGACTCTCAAAGAAGCAAACGTTTTGAAACTTGAGCTTAACTAAAATCATCCAGATTAGTGAGGGAACATTTAACACATTTTCTAGCACTATTTCGCTTAGAAAGTTTCCAGTATGCATTTGTTACATGAATCTCATAGTGTGATTACAAATGTACTACTAGGCATGAGTAAAGAAATTTTTTCTCCACCAAAGTTGACTTTGCCTTGGTAGGCATGGTTTAAAGTAAGTAACTTGCTTGAGACTTTAGATGAAATAGTTAGCTTGTGCGACTACTCATTAAGTATTTTGAATGATTTTCTATGTCATTTCCTTGTTTTTAAATAGGACCATGTAAATATACTAATTAAAAACCCTAACAATAGAGATCTTTGAGAATGTGATTTAATTCTTACATTGGGCATATTTCAAGAAACTACTCTTGTTCGATTTCCCCAAATTTATAACTAAACAAGAACAATACCTTTGAAGAAGTGGAAAATGTCAGAGGAATAAAGGGACAGCCATCATCTCTGTGGATTTGGCATTAGGAATTTTAGAGTTACTTTATTCACTGTTCCACAGGGTGGCAGTAATATAGCACAGACTAGGAAGAACGAAACCATTTAAAATTCTAAGTGGAAAGTTAGGGTGCAAACGTAGTCTTTTAAGTTTCACGAGTTGATCGTGAACATGCACTGTAACATGTATACTGCACGTGTGTATGAAATCAGTGAAGTTAAAATTCTTTTCACATAACTTGGCAAAATGTGTAAAGCAAAACAAATGCAACAGGAGTGTGGCAGTTGGGATTGAAATAGTTTTTATGTTGGTTTGTTTTCACTGTTATATAAAGAGTTTAAAAGCTAGGGTGCTTTATATTGAATTTTTTCTCAACTAGGTGTGTATTTTTGAAATTAGAAAATTCTAAGCATTCTATAAAATCATTAAAATATATACAGTGCATGTGTGTGTGTGTGCACAATGTGTGTATCTACCAAGAGAAAAATAAGCATCTTAGGTATTTTCGAAAGATCTTGGAAATATAGTAATGGTAAGGCAGTTGCAGAAATTACAAAAAGAAGGTTGAATTTGTAGTTCTTAAGATTTTAGTGACCATTGGGAGGAAAATTTCAGAACAATGGTGTCTTTAACAAAGTCTACAGTAAGGCAAATAAAAATTAAGGAAAGGGGTACAGATTATAAATCTGTAATATGGGAATAAATCAGTCCGTTAAGGCCACTTTCAGTCAAATGGCTGAGGATATATGTGGAAAATGAACACAAAAGAGGCGCACACACACACACACACACACACACACACACACACACACACAAAATGTTTAGTGTGCTTTAAAATTTTACACCTCTACACCCAGCTCCAATTCTGAATTTCTTAATTTGGATGACTTCCCATATCTTTCTATGTGCAAACCTGGGGCTTAGGCAAAAGTTTTGGAATAAAACAAAGCAACAAGTATTTTGTTGTTTGGGGGAAGTTTTTGTTTTGTTTTTTACTGGTAGGTTTTTTTGGCTGAGTCGTGTTTATTTGGACTGTTTGATGAATTAGCATCAGTCAGAATTATGTGCTGTGTGTCTAAGTATAACCCCTATGTTAGTAGAAATGCTTACCTTCCAGGGATATAAATATAATAATTCATGTAGCCTTATTTTTTTTTTTTATCTGAAAATACTTTGTGGAAAATATTTTACCAGAACACTGTTGTGGTAAGAGAGACACCAAGACAAAGCAGTGCTTTAAATTGAAAATTTGAGACATGCTTTCAAGTGTTCATTACGAAGGAGATCTCCCAAGTGCCTTCTGGAGCATCTGGGTTTTTTCCCTGAATTCATGTGACAATTGTTTGAGGTATAGCAGTTAAATTGAATTATCAGTCGGGTGGCATACCTGTTTACAAAAATATTTCCATTTAGGAGTAAGTTCAGCTACATAAGAAGTGACACTATATTGAAATATGAACTATATAGAGAGCCAAGAAAATAAATGTGCAAAATTTAAGAAAATGAAACTGTGACATTTTGAGGAATTGTGGGAGTGGAGGTAAATAGGTTCACCGACTTCTGTCAACCTAGAATGTGTCACTTGCCCTTAGAATTTGAGATGATTAAAATTCAGATGTGTCCACCAAATGGCTTCTCACATAACTAGCTGAGGCAAACCTGTGCAGCTTAAGGGTGGCTCACATAAAACTTTACAAGTGAAACAGCAACATCTCCCATGTACATTTTGGGGCAGGATTGTTATGAAGTGATCTCTGTGTGGCCACGACCAGTGGAGGAACAGAAAACAGATGTGAAGTCTCTTTTGAGATTTGTGCTCTGCAGTCATGTGCAAAGATGAAACAGGCAAAGCAATTAGAAAATGTCAGTTCAAACAGTCAATCGGCATGAATTAGAGAAAAGCTGTTAACATAGTTCAAACCAGAACATGAATTCATGGAAAAGTGATTTTCTGCATGTTTATCTTTAGAAAAGGCTAAAATGTTTACCTTAAAATACTGGTTTTCTTAGATTACTAAGTTGGTAAAAATCAATATATGCTAAATAGGCATTTTATTAAGTATTTGTGACATTGAATTTATCCTAGATTATTATAAAATTAGAGTATTTTATAATATAATGGCTTCCAGTAAATATTTAAATTCCTATAATTTAAAATCTACCTCAGTTGAATTGAATAGTTTTAAAATATTTACATGTATTGCATCACATTAGAAACAGCCAATATTTTGATTCTCTTTAAAAATCCTGGAAGCTTAACATAATTATTTATAGATGCTAGTCATCTTTGTAGAAAGTTAGTAATATAACCAATGTCACAATCCTATATGTATGTACTAAATATTTTCATGGTGTAGAGGTAGTTGAAACAATCACTAAGTATGATTGCCTTAAGCAACTAAAATTATAATGACCTCCTTTCTCTGTATGTTGTTTTAAACACATATTTATGAGGGGCACCTGGGTGGCTCAGTCGGGCAGGCAACTTTGGCTCAGGTCATGATCTCACAGTCCATGAGTTTGAGCCCCGTGTCGGGCTCTGTGCTGACAGCTCAGAGCCTGGAGCCTGCTTCAGATTCGGTGTCTCCCTCTCTCTCTGCCCCTCCCCCGCTCACGCTCTGTCTGTCTCTCTCAAAAATAAACAAACATTAAAAAAATTTTTTTGAACCCCACATATTTATGAAATGGGAATTACTATTTTTACTTATTATTTTTTGCAGTGGCTAGGGATGTGGATATGGTTTAACCAGGTGACACAGGTGTAGCTGGTTGGACCCAAAAGATCCCATTTCTGCTAATGAAACCTTAGTCATGATTCTGACATAGGATTGGGACATGGTGGGGGGCACCCAAGTGCCGTCTCAAATTTAGTAACTAAAGTCTGTGTTGAGTGTAGGTTATGTGGTTTCTGTCTGGTGACTTCCTGAAAGATTTACTGGCCTTCATTTTTCTTGTCCCATTAATTACCTGAAAAGCATGCTTTTATTTTTTGCTTGAGCTGTTTTGTGTTGCCATTTGGTTCCATTTTATGCAGCCTAACAGATCCCTCTTTTTCACTTCACCAGGTACGTGTATTCACATTTTCAGTTGGCCAACATAATTATGACAGAGGACCTATTCAGTGGATGGCCTGTGAAAATAAAGGTAACGGGTCTCTTTTCTCCACCACATTTATTACTAAAAAACAATTGATAGATGCTAGTTCTTCATCTTATCATTTAATATACAGTTGTAGCTAATGTTTATCAGAAGAGAGACAAGCCTAAGATGTTGAACAAATTTTCTATAGAGAACATTGACATTATGTGACAGTGTATAAAAATTCAGACATTTGATCATATGGTATATGTTATGGTATATTAATATCATTCAGTGTTTCATTTATAGATACTTAATGTTACTTATCAAGTAAATACTTATCAAATAAGAATGAAAGAATATATGAATTATATAAAAATTACATATGAGAAAGTGTGACATGTTTGTACATTTTTTCTAAGTGGTTAAGTTTTTTTTAATGTCTTCTTACACATTCCTAGGTAATTCAGATTTTGTGTAGTGAGTCTGTATTTCCCATATACACAGAAAACAAAACAAAACAAGATGGTATTTGACAAACTGATCATATAACAATAAAAAGAACCTCAGTTTATTAGGAAAGTCCTGTGTAGGCAAATATTTTATATGAATACAATAATTGTCAGATACCATTATCATGTATCTTTAATAATTTCTCCAATAATAAAAATATTTTAAATGATGCCAGGTTCCCTACTGTTTTATAGAAAAATCACAGTTATTTGATACAATTTAAGTTATGTAGCAGAGTTTGTCACAAAGCCTGTGCATTTGTTAGGGATATGCGTTAAGGAAACATTTTCCACATTCATCTATGATATTGGTATATTAGTATTTGTTGAATTCAAAGTGAAAAAAACATGGTCTTTTCTCCTCTGAAGCCAGAAAAAAATTTTGTGGTCATGTATTGTGATGTTCTCTCTCTATATAAAAATATGTATATGTTTCAGGTTATTACTATGAAATTCCTTCCATTGGAGCGATAAGAATCAATACTCAGGTATGATTACAAGTTATTACAAGTTTTAAATACAAGGTATTTAAAACTTGTTGAAATTATTCTCTCAAAGAATAAGATGTTTCTTTTCTGTTTTAAATATGTTCAATTGGAGAAAATAGGTGAAAATGAAAAAGTGATCCATAATATTTGTAATAAAATGATGAGTATCATGGTGATGTATATTGATTATTATTACATCAAGGTTCCCAGTGTTTTCAAATATGCAAAACTCAGGTGAAAAACTACATGTGTTCTTTTCAGATGTTAAAAACATCACAGAAAATAAGTAAAATGAAAATTTACTAGCAATCTCATTTCATTTAATTTGAACTTGGTCCCATTTCAGATCATTTAAGTGAGTTTCTTCCAGTTGCAGGTACCACAAAGAAAAGGAAGCAATAATTAATCTGAACAAATTATACCAGATTCTAATCAGAATTTAAATACTTCCTAAATAACCCCTGCAGATGTATCTACCTATGTAAAATAAACCTACAAGGTGCCTGGGTGGTTCATTTGGTTTAGTGCCTGACTCTGGGCTTTTGCCTCGTTTCATAGTCTCGTGGTTGTGAGATCGAGCCCTACATCAGGCTGCACACCCAGCATGGAGCCTGCTGGCTCTCTCAAACATAGTAAAATTACAACGAGGAGAGAATTTTTCTACAACCATTCAACTGAAAATATGCCTGTTAAATAACTTCGTAGATTGAAACAACTAAGTTAATATAAATATATATTATTTTCAAGCATTCATAAGTTACAATTTAAAACCATTACTCAATTTTAAACATAACTGAAGATCCACAAAATAGACTAAGGCAAGATGTAGCACAAATAACATGGCATTTGTGGAACTGAATACTGACTGTGTTTTATGTTGAAATGAAACAGCAGCTGCACTAGAGTCTGATGTCTTATTTGGCACAGTGTTGCATTTATTTTTTGATATGTTTAAATGTAGTTTTGAATTTCAGCCAAACAGTCTGTGATATGAAAGCAAGTATGTGGCTGCTTTATGATTTCAAATTTGTGCACTTCCATCCAGTAAATCACAGAGCCTTAAATAGTTTAGATTAACATAAAACAATTCACAAGGAACGTATTTCACCTATCATTGGCTGTACCTCAGAAAAAGAATGTTTTGGTATTAAAAAAAAACGGGGGTAGATCTACTGTATAAATAATATGAGTTAAGTACTGTTGATTCAAAGTATGTAGACTTACCATTTATGGTATACCCAAAATAGCAATTAAATGATTATACACTTACTCCCTTAATAACTTTGATTCCATATTCATTTTTAACTCTAGATAATTTTCTTCTGTGGAGTTTTTTGTTTTTGTTTTTACTACGGCATTTCTTTTTTTCAACCCCCTAACCTTTTTTTTTTTTTTTTTTCTTTAAAATATAGGAGTACTTGGATGTTCTGGGAAGACCAATGGTTTTAGCAGGGGACAAAGCAAAGCAAGTCCAGTGGACAAATGTGTATCTAGATGCACTGGTAAGAGATTGGCTTTTCAACCAAAGAGTGTCCTAACAAAAGCACATAGCTCGTTTCTGCATCTTTCTAGGTGACATTTATCTTTTCCAATTCATTAAGTCCTTTCTGAAAGTCCTTCTATCACACCCTTCATTGCTAGAATTTAGATAATAAAAACCTCATTTTGTCTAACCATACATGTAAAGTTTTAACTTTATTTTTTAGGTGATATGTTGAGAGTGTGGAGTTTCACAACTCAAATCTTGAATTTACAGGCATTTCAATAACTTTCTGAATTTTTATGTAAAAAAAAAAACAAAAAAACAACCCTAAAGTCAAGTGAATGAGTCCTTGCTACTGCAGACTTTAAGCAAAAATTTTGAAATATTTTAACAATAGACTTCAGTTGGCAGAAGCGTGTATTGCCTCCACAACTCAAGCCAGACCCAACAAAGCTCAGAAGTACATGCAATTAAATAGGCAGATAATCTGACCCTACTCTGAAATCATCACGAACCTATTAGCCTCTTTATATATCATCTCTTGTTTGAGATTCAACCCCAGATTTTTATGGAACTAAGCCATTAAAATGATCACATGTGGTGTGATGTAACAAAAACATGTTAAGTTGTCCATTGTGAAACTCAAATTTTAATCTAAGTATCCTATCATATTTCAAAGCAGTGGTTCTGAACTGGAGGAGTTTTTGTCACTCATAGGTCATTTGGATACATCTATGGATATTTTCTGTTGTGACTGGGATGGGCGGGGGTTGCTGCTGACATGTCATGGGTAGAGGCCAAGGAGGCTCCTAAATGTCATACGCCACACAGGACAGTCCCCTCACCCCATGCACATGCATACAACATACAACAAAGAATTATTCAAAAGATCATTAGAGCTGAAACTGAGAAAACTTGTCTCATGTAACTCCAACTTTCCTTGTATTAAAGTTGCAAATAGTAAATATCATGCTTAAGATATATACATATGCTTAATCTTGATGAGAAGACTTTATTAATGATTTGACTAATGTGTAACATACCACAGAGAACCAAAGTCCTAAGCCCTGAAAAGTAAATGCTGATTCACTAACCCTTTTTCCTCCTTGGAGTACAATTATATGCTGATACTACTTCCCTGAATGCAATCGTGACCCCAAAGGGCAACACGCAGTCCATTTACAATTACTTATCATTTGGTTCTTGTAAAATAAACATATACAGGAAGTTGGAAGAAAAATAGGCACTATTAACAGCAGCTTTGCACGCTAAGAAAGATAAAGTGAAGCTTGCTTACCTCAAATCCTAGCTAAAATTACTATCCAGTGTTCCTTCTTGACATCACATATTTATTTAAGGTCACATGGTCATCTAAAGCTATGGCCAAAATGTTTCATTTTTCCGAATCCATCACAGGACAGAGTATGATAGGAGGAGTCAATCATTATGCCCTGTAGGATTTCCTATGACCAGAAGTTCATTAACCAGCACGTCTACATTGTTGGTAAGGTTCTCACTGATAGCACAGATGACATTAGGAAGAGATTCTGGTTCTAAACATGCTGTTCTATAAGCTGAAACTAAATGTAAAGCAAGAAAAAAAAAAAGAGGCACATGAATTGGCTAGTCAGGAGACACGTAGAGCATTCTTTTACCAACTTGAGAATTGAAAAGTGATGGTCTTGTATTTCTAATTACTTGTCTGTAATCGCTGCATGTGGCAGATTCGCAATATATGCTGGTCAGTATATCTTGGTTACATTAAGAAAAAAAATGTAAACACGTTCCAAGACAAAATATAATGAAAAAAAAAATGAAAAGAACTCTGGAAATTCAGAAGAAAGAAGCCATATATTTGGGGGTGGTGTAGGGTGAGTTTAAAAGATGGTGACAGTTTAGCTGAACATATGAATCAAGGTAAAGTTTCTACAATTGGTGGGAACTAGTGAAACCACACAAAGAGGGTATAGTATGAGTTAGGCAAGGGCTGGGTATGTTGGAAAATGGTACCTCACTCACTTTGAGAGCTAATGGGAGTTAAGAACAGGAGCAGACTGGAACAATATTGTGGAGGGTTCATTTTATTTGGGAGATAAAGTGAGATTCTTTGGATAAAAAAAAGAGATAAAAAGAGTTGGAATCAAGAAAATATAAAAATACCAGATAAATTCCAGGAGGGCAGAAATCTTGTCTTATTTCTCTAAATTGTTCCCTAGGAATTTGTACAAATTTTTTGTCTGCTTAATCAATGAAGAAGGAAATGGAAATTGGGTACCAATAAGTTCATTGGTGATTTCATCTCCTATGTTAGAAGTCTAGTGTCTCATTTTAGGGCACATGTTACCATATTTAGAAGCACATTACCATACTCTAGAAATGCAAAGTGATGTGCAGAAAATGATTGCCTCATATACACTTTATCGTGTATCATGCTAGCTTTTTTAAAACTATGCGTTGTAACGAATAGAAATCTCTCCAAAAGGAATATTTACTGAATTGTGTTTTGGAGTCCAGTTTTATGAGTTATCTCTAATCTGATTTTATTGAGGTAGAAAGTTTTCATTGTGAATATGAATTTGCATTTTGAAGGATGTTTCCATTGTTGAATATTCGTGCTTAGAACTGAACAGAGAGCCCACATGTATATCATCATGCACCAATTATGTGTGGTTGATTCCTTAATTGTATTTGTCCCAAACAGTTTGGTATCTTGTTCTGGTGAAAGCCTCTCTCTCTGTTTGTTCTTCCTCTTTAAATTCAGTTCCCATTGTTTTGGGGTTTCTCACATGCACAATTATAAACTATTTCTCTGTGAAGCCAGGATGTTTCTGGAATTAGAACAAGGGTCATGAGATTTGGATTTGGGGTCATTATTCACACGATTACTAATATTTTCTCAGCAAATTTGAAATTTTTAATAATAATTTTTAAATTATTTTAAAGTGTGATTTTTTTTGAAAATGTAGTTTTGACATGAAATAATGGTAAATAAATATATAATATATATATGGTAATAATGGTAAATAAATATATATACATATACATATATGCATATATATATATATATATATATATATATATATATATATATATATATATATATATATATATATATATATATATATATATATATATATATATAATGGCTGCAGATAGCAGTAATAAAAAAAACAAAAACAAAAACAAAAAACCCTCTGATTTGAAAATCGCCTTATTTCAACGAATCTCCATGGGTTCATTTAATATTTGAAATGATCAACATGCTGGATGACACTAGGTCATTACTTTTGTTAGATTAAACTGCTTTATGACCAGACTATTGCATTTGATGCTTACAGTTAGCTACATTATTTGACTTTGTCAAAAAATACTATTTGTCTTAGAGGGTGTTTAGAAGCATTATTGCTTGTTTAGAACAACATAGTATTTACCAGATGATTGCAGATGTGATATTGATAACTTGTTTCTTCTCTTTATTCTGCTATACATTTATGATTTAACATGAAGCCTTTGGCTTAGGGCATGAAAAAATTAAGAATGAAACTACACAAAGGAAGGCAAACAAATTATATAACAATATTTTCATATCACTCTGTTCATGGAATCCCTGTGAACAAAAGAGTGGAGGGGCAGGGTTACTGAAATATTTAGTGTAATTTGAGTTTTTATAATTTTAAGTTATTTGCAGTGCTCTCTCAGACTATTATTGTAGAGGTTGTGGGCTTCAATAGCTGCCTAATAGACTCTCATTATTTCTCAGATGTTTTAATTGATTTTTTAAAGACAAACATTGTGAAAAAGCTTTCAAAATCATTTACTAGGTATTTGTGTCTCTTTATAATGTAACCATAAAATGCAGTGTCAAATACCAAAGACTAATTCAGAATGACAAAGTTTAAATTTTAAGTCTAATTTGCCTTTTTCTTTCTGAATCTATTTTTAGGAACTAGGACTTGTCATTACTGGAACTCTTCCGGTCTTCAACATAACTGGCCAAGTTGAAAATAAGACAAACTTAAAGGTTAAAAGTTAATTGATAAAATTAATAATAATAAATGATAAACTGTGACGTCAAAGCTCAGTGTGGATAAGATATTTCTATAAGGAAATACATAGAATGTAACTGTCTTGTGAGACCAGAAGTAAGAGGCAACAGCTGCCTATGTGATAACCACCTGGGAAAAAGGAAATGCAGGTCAAGTTCTCTGATTCCCCAGAGTCAGGATTCAACATAACTCTGTTTAACTATGAACTGATGAGAACACAAGTTCAGTCCCTGGGAGTAATTACATGACAGATGGGCAATACTATTGTGTGCACATTTTTTAAATGTATCTAAGATATCCATGGAGCTCAGAAAGAAAAATCCAAAGAACAAAACCATGGTAATGTTCGTCTCTGGTGTATGTATGTATTTTTATTGAAACATTCCTCCTCCAGCTCCCATTCAGACAGCAGTTTTTGTTTTGTTTTGTTTTTAAATCATCATGTAACTTAAGCATCTGATATAAAATGAATAGCTCCCAAAAAAAATATTTTTAAAAAATGAAGAGCTCTATTTTGTTTTCTGTTTTTTAAAGATTGAAGAAAAATACTACATGAGTGTCATAAAAATGTTGACTTCTGCAGCACTGGAAATATTGTCAATGCAATGAGATGCTACCAACTTAAAAATTCTGAAAAATTTTACTTGTTAGATTCCACTCATTTTTAAAATACTTTTGATTTTAAAGTAGGGTTGCATTCCTATTTCTTAAATTGCATCAGAAAGAATTTTAGATTGCGGGACAAGTTAAGAATTTTTTTTTTTTTAAACACTATATATTCATTTTAGGCTTTGTTTGACATTCCAGACTGGAAGGGAATTTATTTCCAGTTTATGGCATAATGAAGTCTGTTGCACTTACTATTTGTTCAGTTATTATAAATTTCAGTTGAACTCTTTTATAATGTGGCCATCAAAAATGTAAGTTTTTTTTTTTTTTTTTTTTTTTTTTTTTTTTTTTTTTTTAAGTTTCTTTATTTTGAGGGGGAAGGGGAAGGGCAGAGAGAGAGAATTCTAAGCAGGCTCCTTATGGTCAGCACCGAGCCGTATGTGGCGCTCAAACCCATGAATCGTGAGATCATGACCTGGGCCAAAATCAAGAGTTGGATGCTTATCTGACTGAGCCACCCAGGGGCCCCAGGAACCCATTGTCATTCTAAAAGATCTCTGGGTTCTAAATAATTTAACCCATAAAGGAGTAATTCTGTAACTATTCAGATGGACTAAGGGATTGCTTTAATTTGGAGGGTTTGCTGAGACCAGAATTGGTCCATGACAAAAGAATATAGTTGATATAACTTTCTCACTGTTTGTGCACCTACGCAAAATTTATGGTGTTCTCATGATAACTATTGAATGGATTTTATAATTTTCGTTGTAACATTTTAATTTCTTTTTTAGTTTATATAATTCTATTTAAAACTGAAATTCCTGATTCTAAATTTTAACACCATTTTCGTCTTTAATGTCCCTGAGAAGATTATGATAGCAATTTGCCACATAGCCCTTGTTGACTTGCAACTAAAGCTTGGATGCCCATGTTTGGTATCTCTCAAACACACATACAGCTACAACTGACTGTACAGTAGCAATTAAATATTAGAGATAATGAGTACAAGGGGCATCAAATAAATTTCCTGGGGCACCTGGGTAGCTCAGTAGGTTAAGTGTCCAACTCTTGATTTCAGCTTAGGTCTTGGTTTAAGGGTTGTGAGTTCGAGCCCCATGTTGGGCTCCATGCTGAGCATTATGTCTACTTAAAAAAAAAAAACAAAAAACCCTACATTTTCTATTTTAGCCACAGTCATCAGGATTTCATTTACAATGATAAAGTCCTGGGTAAACAAAGGTGGGAATCATTGTAAATTGGTATCAAAAGCTGTTTCACCCTTAAAAATGTTTAAGCTAGATTGGAATATAACTATTGTCAAGCAAAAGGATGAACATATATAATAATTGTGTAGAAATATGTGCATTTTTTTAATCCAAAATAGACTACCTTTTTGCTATCTTTTATTATAGAACCAGCTAATTCTTGGTGTGATGGGGGTTGATGTATCTTTGGAAGATATTAAGCGACTAACACCACGTTTTACAGTAAGATGAAATTTACTCTTTGGGTATCTTTTTATTTTAGAGCTCTGTACTAATTTAGCTGTCTATAAAACATTTAAGTAATCCTCAAAAATCATGTAGTTAACTTACCGAATAAACTAAATGTTAAGGTCTTTAAAATAATATAAAGATACTATGCTGTCTTTCTTCATTGCTTTAAAATGTGTTAAGAATTTTTTATCTTTAAAGAATGTGATTTCTGACTGTGACCCAGGGATTTTTAATTTTTTTTTTCCAGCTCTGCCCCAATGGCTATTATTTTGCAATTGATCCTAATGGTTATGTTTTATTACATCCAAATCTTCAGCCAAAGGTATGTATATAATTTGTTTACAGTGATTAATGCAATTCTGTAAAATTAATGGTTAATGCTCTTAATAGATTGGTCATCTTTAAATTCATTATATAGCACTAAATATAAAGGAACATTAGGTCTGTAATGTTAATACATGACAAGACCACAGTTTATAATATATGAAAGTGTGAAAGCACTATTCATTTTCTCTTACCAATTTAGTTGTCCCATATTCCTATGGAATATTTAACCAATATTCACAACTCAAAGACAGCCATTATCGCCCCATGCCTGAGTTCACACATCCCCTTGGGATTTTGATTAAGGCTGTAAGGTAGTGAGGAGATTGCCCCAGATGGGTGTGAACCTGATAAATAAAAGTAATGTTCTTCTATGCACAGATTATATTTTCCATCACCCTTTTTTCTAGTAATTATCTCTCTTTTTCATCTCCCAAAGTGCTTTTTTCTTTCTACTTTTGAGCATGCTTAAAAAAATAGGAATGAAATTCAATAAGTTCAACTCCATGGGATGACTTCAGAACTGGGAGGTGTTTATTAATCAGGGAGTTATCAGAAAGTGACAAAATCACATAGATGAACTTTTTATTCTAATCTCTATGCTAAGATATGAAATATTTTCCTAAATGTCTTATCCAGCTTCTTTCACTTTCCATTAGTGCTTCACAGGTAGGATGAAATATATTTATCTGGAAATAAAAACTGGCAAAATCATATTACATAATTGTAAGTTATGAGCATCTTCAAGTTGTTGCTTAACTTTGGAGATAACACTGAAGATACTTTAACCCATGCTAAAGGGAAATACATCCAGATTTAATCATACTATCTTCTTTCCCTTGGTCACGAATAGTTAATGTTAGTGATATCTTTGGACATACACAAGTATATTCATAAACACACATACATTTAATGTTGAGTCATTTAAATACCTTTCAAATCAATGATAATTAAGAACCATTGATATTGAATGCAAAAACGTACTAAGTGGTTGTAAGAAATGTGATGATTTTAAAAGTTCACTTGGGAATTTATTTCCATATAAACTCCATCATGATCTAAATATTAGCTAATCAAATGTAGCTGCCTCTCATTCTGCACTATATTTAAAGTGGTTATTTTATTATAAAAATGGTATAGACATTTCTCCCCATTATCATTAGTCTATCACAGGCCTTTATAAATATGTCCTGTTAAGTTCCTCTTAATAGAGTTATTTATGATTAGCCTAATATTCTATGATTTTGTCACAGTTGAAAATTTGTATCTTTTTAAATATTTTTAAGATTTTTTTAAAAATTTGCAATGCCATTGTTTGGTTTTTGTATATCCAATATATTTTAATTTACATTCCCACAACTGAAGTGATTTAAAAGCAGTAATAATGTAATGTGTTGAAAGGTGTGAAGGATCCCCATTTTTATGATTGTAGCTCTTAACCCCTTCTCCAAAAGGAAGTAAAATATATCACAGACAAAATAATAAAGAAGAATAATGTACATACATTGTATATAAATCTATCATTTAAAGGCAATAATTTGAAAAAGGTTTTCCCCCTTTTATACATTCTTCTGATAACCACTATTTACATAGAAAAATTTTACTACTATTTGATGTTAACATCTATTTGTCTCAGATTTGGAATAATTTACTAACACTCATATAATTACAACAAAAATATAAATTCTATAGAAAGCATTATTACAGCCCAGGTGATTTTTTTTTTTTAGGACTATGTTAACTTTTCATATTTTTACATAGGAAATTATTAGAAGCAAGTGTGCAACAAAGATATTTAGAAAATACTATTTTACAAAACCATTAAAATACGTTTGAACGATTGATGTGTTCTTTTCTCTGAAATTTATGCTTGTGAATTAAATATGCTTGTGAATTCTCATCATTAGATTAAACATTATTTGTGTTTTGTGGGTGATGGTGCATGCTTTGCAGGTAGACCAAAGAACTGCATAAAAGGATGATAGAGTATAAGACATCTTGTTTGTTTTAGAAATTGACAAGTACAAAGGACAGATATGGTAACCACTAGTATACTAACAAAATTATTCTCAGTGCTTTCATCAGAAATTTACCAGTAGAAATAAAGGAAGATAATGCTGTTCCATAATTTCCCCCCCCCCTTTTTTTAAATAAGGTCATAGTCTAGTGTTATTGCAAGTATTCTTTGTTGAATGCCTTGTGTTTTCTTCCTGAAATTATAATCTTAAGTTATTTCAGTACAATTTTGTAGTTTGTAGAAGTCAGTATGAGTATCCTTCAAAAAGGCTAGAATCTCAGGAAATAAAGTAGTTATAAACCTTTTACATATCTAATTTTCTAAGCAATCATTGCTAATCTCCTCATGTCTCCACCATGACCACATTTGACAAGTACTGGATTATGTATCCTGCTTTATTCCAAAATGCATTTTACATTTCTTACTTTTTGTTTCATAAAAATAACCAGATTGGGTACACTTCTAAGATACTTTATTTGGGTCAATCTTAGTAAATATTTATTGTATAGGAAGTTTTGCATAATCCACACTTTAGAAATCAACATTTAAAATAAATCTACAGTGTTAGGATTAAATTCTCCTTTAGTTCCACAGATACAACATTTGGTAACACTTGAGAAAACAAAGCCACAAATTTTAAGGGTTTAATGTTGACACTTCTCAATGTCTTATAATAATTATATTTTAACACATTTGAATCATGTACATTCTAAAATCTGCAGGATTTTTTTTTGAATCAGCATTAAAGTTGTCTGAGACAAAATACTTTTCTCACTTTCCAAATATGTACTTTTTTAGGAAAAAAGGAAGATACTAAAATATGCTTCTAAACAATTTTTTGAATACTTTTACTAGCATAACATTTTTTATACACCACCAGTATTTTGAAACATTCATTTTATTTGTTGACATGTCATGAACTCTGTGATACCTGCTGCTGATCAAGGAAATATCTGATCAAAATTGATTGTAGGATAGAAGCCTTACCTGTGTTGAAATGTAGCATGATGAATTACCACCTTTCTGTTGCTTCAGCCTATTGGTGTAGGTATACCAACAATTAATTTAAGAAAAAGGAGACCCAATGTTCAGGTAACTGCGAATGAAGTTAGCAGTGGCTTCAAATACGCTAAATCAGAGTTGAGATTAAGCTTCTCTTCCTAAAGCATCTGATTAATTCTGCCTTTCCTGACATCAAGCTTCCAGAGCATGAGTTGGAGATGAGCATCGTTTCTCAAACTGGAGCAAAAGCATTATTAATGATGGCAGGGGGTATGCATTTGCTAACTTAAGATTGCTAGCAAATTATGTAATGTCGTTAATCAGAACAACTATAATGACATGGCTTCTAAAAGTAAATTTGTTATTAAAATTGTGAAATTAGTGTCCCATCCATGTTTTCCTAACAAGTGCTTGTAAAATTAACTTCAAAGTGGAAATAAAAAGACAGTTCTGGTGTGATAGTTTCTGTAAACCATACATTGCAGGCCAAAATTTCTTTGAATTTCTAAAGTGTGTCTTAGGATTAGAGGTTAGAGAAACTTCCCTTAAGCTAATTAAAAATGCCCAGAATTGCAAATAAATATTGTAAATTGTTATTGCCTGACAAGTTCATTGCAAAATCTTTTCGCTTTTGTCAACAAAATTTAAATGTTACTTTATGTGTGCATATTTCTATAATTACATTAAAAATAATCAGTAGAGAGGATACTTCCTACAGTTTAGTACAGTACAGTATGAGAATTGTTACAGTTACAGAATTTCATAATTCCGAAGGAATTTCAGTATGATTTAATGTTTTATATGTAATCCTATCATTGCTCTAAAAAAAGTTAGTGGCATTATTATGGACAGGTAGTATGATATTGAGAAGATATTATTAAACTATTTTACCCCATTCAACCTCATTTTACTTTAACTTCTTCATTGGAAAAGTAGGAGGATTGAATAATGGTTGTTGTTGTTTTTTAATTTTTTTAATGTTTATTTATTTTTGAGAGAGAGAGAGAGAGCCTGAGCATTAGCAGGAGAGGGGCAGAGAGAGAAAGGGAGACACAGAATCCGAAGCAGGTTCCAGGCTCCGAGCTGTCAGCACAGAGCCCTATGCGGGGCTCGATCCCATGAGCTGTGAGATCATGACTTGAGCCGAAGTCGGACGCCCAACCGACTGAGCCACCCAGGCGCCCCTGAATAATTGTTTTTTAACCTACGTGATATATTCCCCTAGGAAATTAAATATATATATTGATCTACAGCTCCATCTCCTGAAAATTCTGAACTGATGTGACCAGGGATGGGACCCAAGTTAATAAATAGTATTTCAAGCTTTCCAGGTTGTTCTAAAGTTGCAGAGCCACTGGATTAAAAGAAGCTTCAATTTTCTTCTAGCTCTAGAACTCTGTGCAATCTGAACTTCATGTTGTTGCATCAGTCTTCATATCTTTTATGACTCCTGTAGAGGTTAAAATGAAATTAGTGTCTTTTCTTGATTTATTAAATTGTCTCCTGTTACTCTTCTTGCATGCTTCTTTTTGTGTATTATCTTAAATTATACTTTTTGCATTCATGTATATCCTAGCAAATTTTCATTTTACAGTACTTTCAAATGTTGCATGTAAATGTTATAATATAATTTGAAAATAAACAACCTGAAAAATGGTTTGTTTTATTTTTACTTTCTTTCTAAGGAAACCTCAAATGGCAAACTAGCAACCATACAAGACTTTAGAATTTTAGGAATATTTTTTGAACTATGTAATATTTTTTTTTTTTTTAATTTTTTTTTTTTTTTTTTTTTTTTTTTTTTTCAACGTTTATTTATTTTTGGGACAGAGAGAGACAGAGCATGAACGGGGGAGGGGCAGAGAGAGAGGGAGACACAGAATAGGAAACAGGCTCCAGGCTCTGAGCCATCAGCCCAGAGCCCGACGCGGGGCTCGAACTCACAGACCGCGAGATCGTGACCTGGCTGAAGTCGGACGCTTAACCGACTGCGCCACCCAGGCGCCCCTGAACTATGTAATATTTTTAATCATCCTAAGCACTAATTATTTCTATTTAAAATCTGTTTAAAGGCATTCTGCCTTTTAGTTCTACAAATGTTGTTGTCTTTATGTCAGCTGATACTAAAATTTTACACATGAAAAGTGTTATATATTTAAAATATCAAACAAAAGCATTAGGAATGAAGGAACTGGATTCCAGTTCTCAAAGTTCACTTGGTGCTTTTTTATTATAAATTTCTGCTTTTGAATTTTTCAATCATTGTGCCTATGATGGGTCTTTTAAAAATGGTCAGCTAGATTGCCATTTAAAAAGTACAAGTTTTGCATTGACATTTTGCTTTTACGATTTCATTTTCTTCTCTGTGTCTTTATATGTTGGATTGGGACATGATCTTCATATTGCCAATTCTTCCCGATAATGCCTCCGCCATGCATGCTGTTTGGGTCTGGTCATGCTATGCATTATCCATTGCATGTAAGATAATATTCTTATTTATGTTTATATTTTATCATTTTGATTATGTTGACTTTGTTTTGCAGTGAGTATGTTAAATTTTTAATGCTGTTATGGTGTTTGTGTGAAGAGGATTTATTTCAGGGAACTTTAAAGAAGCAATTCTGAATTATATTTTCCAATTTAGAGTATCCTTTTATTAGTGACATTCTTGGTTCATTTTTTTAAACAAAGGATTAAAATTATTTTCAATATTGATTTTTATTTTATCTTTATGAATTATGTTACATTTCAAATGAATATTTGCTTCTGAGGCAATATATTGCTATCTAAACAATGGTCAGTATTATCACCTATTAAGCAGTCTAATAGTCATTTGTAATATTCTAGAATCTTCTGATTCCAGACATCAAGCTCATGAGAAGTGTATATTTTTTAAATAAAAGCATGAGACACAGTTGAGATTATTGTTTTAATTTGCCTTTAAGAGTATCCATTCATCAAAACCCATAGGAATCATAAACTGTCATCATTTAAATGGAGTTATATCTTGAAAGAAAGCATTTTTGTCATAATTATAAAATAAATGCACGCCATATATAATGTCATTCAGCATTGAAGTTAGTGTTTATTTAATTTATTTGAATTATTGTTATTATTTTGGGTAGTCAGTCCAAACTGTTTAATTAAAATAGTGATAATCTCGTTCAATTGATGGTCCAAAAAAATAAAAAATAAATAAAATAGTGATAATCTGAATGTATTTTGGAAGAGCCTGTGAATCTGAAATCACTAAAATTCCAGTGACCTTGCACTAATACAGCATAATTTATATTTATTACTTCTATCTAATTAATTTAGTCCAAATTAAAAATCCAGTTTCTAAAATCATTTAGTTGTAAAATTATCGACACCTATTATGATTTGATTATTCAAACAAACTTTGATAATCTATTATGGCACGTTACATTCTTAGCATTGTTATAAAATAATCAGTGTATTTTTTTTATCAAATAGCTAAATAAGTCTTCATTTTATGATTGAGAAAATTTTTAAATGTCATATGAGGTAAACTTGCCAAGCTAACAGTTTTATTTGACATAGTTATAGAAATAAAGAGTATGCCTTATTCCACAGTTAATTTTACTTATTCACACGAGCAAGAAGAAGCAGTAGGAGACATTAAAGTGAAAACCATATCTAGTGAACCCAAGGATTAATATTCTAGTTAGATTTTAATTACAATAGGTAATCTTTATTAAAGTCCTTATGACTTGACCACGTATTTTATCTTATAAAATTTACTTAATTTATTAAATTCAAATGTAAAATTTCTAAGATTCAAATATATAAAGCAAACTTGCATCTTTATGCATCTTAAGAAGAGTATGTTTAGAATAGTTAGTTTTACTTAGCAAATTCAAAGTTAGTTTTTAAAACATTTTCCCTCATTTCTTACTTTTTATAGAACACAAGTAAAGAAACGTATATCACTTAGATGTTACCTTTGTTTTATTGCCAAGTATGTTATCCACATGGCTTCATTTTGTTCCTTTCCCATCCTATGTAAAGGAAAAAAGTTTCAAGTAGATCTTTGATTGTCATATTCACATGGAACTTGTAATTATAAATGTAGTATCTAACATACCACTCGAAATGAGACTGTCTTCAGTTGGTGGCAAATTAAAATTTTCTTGCTTCACTGAAGCTCAAGCCCCTACTCTATTATTATCTTAAAATACATGTATGCAAAACAATATATCTTTGTATAACTGTTTTGTCAGCCGTTTAATACACCTTAGGTAAGTAACTTGTATGTAATTATTTTTGTGTTTGAATATACATTGAACTGTTTACGTACAACATCAGTTTTCAATGTCATATATGCTTAATTATTATTATTTTCTCTGTAGAACCCCAAATCTCAGGAGCCAGTAACTTTGGATTTCCTTGATGCAGAATTAGAGAATGACATTAAGGTGGAGGTGAGTATGTGCCTGATCAGGTCAGATCCTGGGGTTCATTCATTCCACAGTATCTGTTGAGCCATGTCATTGTGTTATCTTCTCTCCTAGATCCTGTCCACACAATGGTGAATGTTGTTTGTCTTTAAAATTTCTAGGGGTGGGATCTCTTATGCAAATGATCATATGAAAAGGAATGAGTATTTTTAGTTGGGTGTGACATTAGTTTCTTTCTTTCTTATCCCATAGTTAGAGGTATTTTAAGTATTTCAATACAAATAGAACTTACAAATTGCAATAAACATCGCAGAGATGGAGGACATTGCTACAGAGCTAAAAGAAAAGTTGGAGGGAATCTAACCATCCAGCCACCCAGTGAGCAATGTGAAGGGCAAAGCAGCCATGTTTGTCTTTGTATACTTAAGCCAGAAACATTTCTATTTTATTTCAAAACTAAAACTGCATGCCATTTCCTCTGAGAGGGTCTTCCTTAATAATAAGGATAACTAATAATAATATTTATTAAGTACATAATATGTGTCAGTCATGGATTCTCATCAGCCTTTGAAATAGGTGCTATTATTATATTATCTTTATTTGTTGAACTGAGGATAGATATAAGGTCCAGAGAGGTTAAACAGCTTGTCTCATCAATCAGCCAGTAAGTAGCAGGACCAGCATTTGGATCCGGCTTTTGCGCTTCAGAGCAAAGATTTTTAAGATTCTTTTATATGGATTAACTTCTCCTCTCATCTATGCAAAGGCCACCATATTTCTTTGAGAATTTGTCGTGGTGTGTTTTAATAGGCACTTGCTTTATGCGTTTTACACATTGACTCCCTCACTGTAGAACAATAGAATGTAATTATTCGTTATTATTACCCAAGACCAAGACATAGTGCTGGGATGTCTTAGGTGATCAATGAATGTTTGTAATAAAGTGTTTTCAGGTGATAGAACAGGATCATGTAATAATAAAGAGCATGGTCGTTGGGACTCTGATGCCGCTGAGTGACTTTAATATTATTTAACCTATTACATCTCACAATCAGTCTCATAAAGTAATCGACTATTCTTTCATTAGTTGTATTTTAAAAATTAAGGGGTGGCTGAAGATAATTAAGGATACCTTTATTATTTTAAAATATGTAAAATGACTGTAACGTGGTAACTTAAAAGAATGTGGTAACTTTTTAAAAGAATATTCCCAGAGAAAACTACAACTACTGGTACAAACAGCCTATTTTTATTCAGTCTCTTGTAAAATAAGGTATAAACCTTGAAATATCGATACTTTAATAGTCGTATTATGGTAGTCACTTGAATACGTGCAATAAAGTGATTCTTTCATCTTCCCTTAGATTCGAAATAAAATGATCGATGGAGAAAGTGGAGAAAAAACATTCAGAACTCTGGTTAAATCTCAAGATGAGGTAAGGATTAAGTCAGGCTTATTAAACAAAACGTATATATACATAATTATATTGGTAGCTTATCTTTTGTATTAAAGCAGTATTTATAAAACAGATGTCTCAAGTAAACATTTTTTAAGGTCTTCGCTGGAAGAGTATTTTTAATAATATTTTTAACTCTTTTTAATTTTTCTAAAGCATGTTGCTTTAAGTTTCTTGATGCTTTACATTAATAACAATATATTTTTGAAAATTATATTTCATGTCTCCATTTTTTATCATCTTAGGAAATAGAACACAATTTAATGTTGTGCCATGTTCTTAGCCATTTCATCATGCAGAATTGAAGAAAATATGTAATAGCTGTGTTACATGATTTCTACATGCAGATCTTCTAATTGTTGGGTTCCATATATTATTTTGTTTGGTGTTTTAATTATTTACTTTTTTGTGTGTGTGTGTGTGTGTGTATCTTCCATCACTATTTATGCACTTTATGATTGCCTTGCATTTAAATCTGAAACTAAATCAAGAGATAACCCAACTACACCCATAAATCACTGGTACAAATAAGTAATAAACTCATATTGTTTGATACTGATGTGGAGGAACTATGTATATGAGCAGTGTGTCTATCCATTATCAGTCACATGTGGAGTAAATACACAGACATTCACATATTTGAGTATTTAAAAAATATATGGAATCCAGAGGCTTTGGAGCCTGGAAATTTAAGTGTATGTATATAACTTACATCCTTTTCCTCACATTGTTATCCTTTTTAAATGTATACATTTCTTGAATTCCTCAGCAGATCTTTGTCTAGGGTGGAGCTAGGATCCAAATGGGATCATTCATTAGCAGGTGGCTTTTCTCACTTAATACCGTTAGGAGTCCCCAGTACCAGAAGACAGGAGGACGTATATATCGATTGCAGTCATTGTTGAAATGTCGATTCTCTTTACTTAGACTTTAGCCATACTCGTGACCCGCTTACTCCTCGAGGAAAGATGTAAACCATTCAACAATTGTGCCAACTTTTCCATGTTGTTCTGCCAATGAGAACTCTTTGACCTACACATTCTATCCTCAAGTTATACATTAATTTTATTTGTTTTGAGTCACCTTGATATTTTCCCAGTTTGCCATATTTTTTGCCATATTTTTTATAATATGAAATATGTGAACATTATTTTTTTTTAAGAATTTTACTAGTCTAAAAACCTCATAATTCCTGTTCTTCCTGCCTCTGTCCTCTACACACATACAGTAAATCATAGGAATATTTGATGTATGGAGACAACATGAATGGTTGTTACAAAATGAATCTGGCATTATACATTTACTTTATTCTCCCAAATTAGTTTTAAGACTTAGATACTTTCATTTCATCAATAAATTATAGAAAATAATAGTATTTAGTCCAGCGGTCAGTTAAATTCGACAGTGATTTTAAAGTGATTAGTGTATTGCCGAACACCAAGTAACATTTCAGTGAATATTACTGTTCTGATGAGGATAATAAAGCTGGAGATAACTAAAACAAATGTAAAGATGCATAATAGCCATCACTATACCTAATGGAAGAAAGAATGATAATTTCTTTACTAGTATTCCATAGTGACCTATGAACAATTCTATATCCATCAAGTTATTTTGCTCTGTACTTCCTTTCCTTGGTGGATTTCATTTTTTTTCTAACCTTCAGTGGTACTAAGTAATTCGTCTCTTATGCTAAATACTGTAATAATGGCTTAATAAGAATGATAATATCCTAATCATACATTTGGATGTACAAACAGTACATTGCTGTCCTGATATTACCAGTTTCTTATAAATGCTGTCTAGTATGGAAATATCTGAGGCTTCTTTAACATATCCTAGTCCTATTTTATTATTAAAATTGTATTTTAGAAAATGTTTCCAATGTTTTGACGTTTATAATTCAGCATGAATTACTAATATTTTGCACTAAAAAGACTTTAAAAGTTATGATGCAGATGTTTATGTTTGTGCTAAAATTTTGCTTTACACACACACACACACACCCATAACAGAACAAATAAATGTAGACTAGAGCAGACGTTTGTGAAGGAAGGTTTGGAATGACCATAGTATTTATAAATAGATTTTAGTGTTCTGCTTTTTATATGAACTCACATAGAATTTATAAGGTGATAACAACCATATCAAACTTTTTTTCTAGAGATACATTGACAAAGGGAACAGGACATATACATGGACTCCTGTGAATGGCACAGATTACAGGTAATTAACTGGATTTAAATATGTATCGTATACCAGAGTATTCAGTTCTGTGTCTTTCACATTTTTAGTAGCAATTTTCATAATAGATGAATATTAAGTCCTTGCATTTTCATAAACCATTTTCATTGTAATTAAAGCAGAAAAGTTATTTTTTCCAATGCAGAAATGTATTAAAATTAGAGCTTCTGATTTTTCAAAATGGAAAAGATGGAAAAAAGCTAGGAATATAAAATTTGGAAATGAACACATATGTGATATAAATCTATTTGATTTATTTGTATATATTGCTGTTAGCAATAATACATGTTGACAAAATGCCCTAGTCATTTGTAGTCATCACTTCCGCTGATTTCCTCATTTAAATTCAGTTAGTTTACATTACTTACCTTTTGCAAATTAACCTAAAAATAAAACCACCTCATAGTATGATCTGATATAAAATGCTCAGTTGGTAATTTACCTTCCCTAGTGACAAGTCTGTAATATCCCGATCACACCAATGGACTGAGCGTTGGAAAATTGGACAGACTAATATCCTGTAGTGTCTTGAAAATTCTCCATTCTTCACTCGCTGAGCATTTCCTTCGCTTTCTTGGTGTAACTCTTCTCTGAGGTCATGGCTTTCCCTGTGGTCCTACATCCTACAGGCTCATAATCCTGAGGTTGTTATGGATATTTCCTTGTTACTCATTCTCTCTTCCTCTTCCCTAAAATCCCTCTCTCTCAATCTTAGATCATCTTCCTCTCAGTCCTATAAGATTTCAATTCCTGGCTCACTGTACAGTCACATAGATCACTGTTTCTGATGCTATTTTTGACATATCCACACTTATGTAGAACAAAACAAAAATTATTTACTAAGTCAACTTTTAAGAAGGTTTTAAAATTCAAGCTTGAAGTTTTTATTAATAGATTTTACAGACATAAAATTAGTCTGTCAAATTACTGAAAAGTTTTCTAAATGTTTACTCTCAATTTCTCTACTTAACTGGTCCTGAGCTGGGAATAGTTTGCAAATGAGCCAGGTCTGTGGAGCACACTCTAATAGCATTGAGATAGATGATTTTTTTTAGCACCTGATCCTTCAGTTTATCTCCTCTTCACTGTGTGGGAGTGTGCTCTCTTCCTTTTTTCTTACACGAACAAATTTTAAGTTAGAAAAACTTGATCTCTTTAACCCTGACAATGAGTCAACAATGATGGCAGTCATAATTATACTTTGAGAGTATTTTAGTCATTATAATTTGTTTAAATGTGTTTGTAACAGTCTCACAAATGCCCCCTACATGCATACCCTTACCCTCCCACAGACCGTGATGGGACCAAACGTGGCCAGATTGATACCCCAATTCTGAGTATGTTGCTCCTTGTTCACAAACATTTATTCTCTTCCCATTTTACTCCAACTTAAATCTGGACTTCCAAGGCAGATATTCTCACCTCATGTTTCTATCCCAGAGAGCCTGCCTGTCATGCCTCTCACCACCCTCCTCATGGAGTCACTGTTCTCTGGCCCCACCTTTCCCACTTTGTCATGTTTTCCAAACATTTGCTGCCCAAATCTACATCTTTGGGCCAGATTTGGTCTATTTTCATTATAAGTGCTTCTCTTGAATCGCTGTACAAATAAATTCACAAACAACGATGGAGAACAAAATATAACATCTATATAAAGAGGGGGAGGGGGAAATTGGCATGTTTTGATTTACTGAATGAAGTACCAAATTTCATGTAGTGATTTATGCCTTCTTAAGCTTTGTTGTAATTTAGGTATTACAGTTTGAAATATAGTAAGTAATGATTCTAATAGAATGCTGTTTTTTTTTAATGATGAATTTAGTTTCATAGAGACAAATGATTGAGCTGAAAAGTACGTTACATTCCACTTAACTCTGTTAACCATGTTTATGTGAGTCACAAAAATATTGCGTGGGCTCTATCATCCACCTGGTGGCTGCTGGCTTTATTAGGTTTTAATCCCTAGGAGAAAATAAAGCAGCCTTGGTCTGTTGATTTTATATGGAGGGAGACAGCAAACACTGCATATGACAACATCATTGACTCAAAATGTTGGTAAAGATCTTATCGGCTATAGGTTGAAGAAATAACCGTTGCCTTGAGATGGAAATAAATTAAGTGTAACTATTTTTCTATAAAATGAGGTGTAGCTCTTAATAACAACCTGAGACATGCAGGCCAATAAAATGTATATTTGATATGTCAATTTTAAAACTTCTCCTGTGTTCCTCAGGAGTTTCAACACTATTTTTATGGTACATGAGATGTAACCCAAGCTTAGAGAGTGACACTGCAGCAGCCACATGATATAACGTTATCGGTTTTAATTAGAAGTTTCTCTTAGCAATAAATGCTGATGGAGCAATAAAAATGTCCTAATTTCCCTTGAGAGGAATTTGTAGGAGACAATCTTCAAATGCTCAGTAATTCTACTCTACATTTTATAAATGGCAAGTGAATCATGAAAGGTCATCTTGCTTTCAGACTAATTTCACTGCTTATTTTAATTTTAATCTCTCCCTCCACTTAAAGGAAGTTACCTATAAAATGAATGGGGAGATTTTCATTAAATCTACATAACATTTTATTTCTCTGACCTTTCCCCATAAGGATAGTCTATGAATTACTTAATGAAGGAGAAAGATTTGGGAATTGGAGGTAACAAGCATCCACTCATTTTGCTATCTTGACTGCAAAAATAAATTGTAGGAAATAAACCCTTGCTTTTTTTCCCCTTTGTATTTTTAACATATATTTTCATAAGAAGGAAAACCTGGAATTTTATATTTTGTCCTCTTCTGTACTGTCCATAAAAAAAAAAAGCAGATAATGAGATTATAGTTGCACATTCTCAAAAGCTTGGGAAACATGCGGCTTTAGTGACTTAAGATCTGCAAGTACATGTAAATACTCAGAAGCCTAGAAATGCACACCTTTTCCTGTGCATTGCTAAATTTTAGATTAAGTATTAAAAATGAGTGCTAAATGAGTCACTTGGTCACATTAATCACGCGTCACTTTTTGAAACTACTTAGGTCAGGGAATCTTCCTGTACCTTCATTTTCTTGCACCCTTAGTTCTTAAGTTTCCTTCTGTACTAAAGCATAGCAAAGGTTATTCGCAACTGTAAATGTGGATGTGGAATCATTAGTTGTGTCCTACACAAATATATTAGCCATTTCAGGGGTGGAAGAATTACACATATGCAGTTGTGTTATTTGAAACTGCATACTGTGCAAATATTCTGACCCCTTTTATATTCTGTAGGAAGAACCAATAGGATGAGCAGGCAGCCTTTCTTAGTGCTAGGAATTAATGTGAATTTTCTTATCAGCAGACACTGGGGAATTTGCCTAAAGACTAGAGTCTTAAATGGTCAGTATTTCACCCGTCAAAGGGGTATGTTTCAGATGGGTTTATGCATTGCGTAGTAAAAATGATAATACCATTTATGATTGTTAAACGGTGGATGTTTGCTACAGAGCACTCTAACATAATGCATATTTCATGAAAGGGTATGCAGTGAGTGTAATATTTATTTTCTTTAAACATAACCTTAATATTCTTTTTCAACACTTGAAGTATTTCAGTACACTTTTCTGAAAATACAGTACACATCACATTTCTTTCTCGGTGAATTCATGGGCACATTTAGTAGCTTATTTTCCTTGGTGTCTCTTCTGATTCCCTACGAGATAGAGAACTGGATGACTCTGGATGGCAAGACCGAATTAAGTACTCTACTTACTGAATGCGTTTTCCTGTCACAGTAATATGTCTCTTCTTTCCCATGAGGAAGATCTTTGGATTTTCCATTAACTGGATGTGTCTTTTTTTTTTTTTTTAAGTTGTTTGTTTGTGTTTATGCTTCTCTTGTTTCTATTGCAGTTTGGCCTTGGTATTACCAACCTACAGTTTTTACTATATAAAAGCCAAAATAGAAGAGACAATAACTCAGGCCAGATGTAAGTACTATGAAAGTGACCCCAGAGTCTATTTATCTCGTAGTATCAGATGTATAAATCTGTCTAGATTTTAGAATGCCCAAGGCCTATACATTTTAGTAGGTGTTACTACCAAATCTACAGCAATGATTCTAACCCATTCCAAACATGCAAGGAACAAGAAATATTCTACGTGGATAGAATATGAGCAGGTACCCAGTCTCACTGGCATCCCCACCATCCTACCCTGCCTTGCTTTGTGCTCATAGAATCATTGCCGTGCTGTGTCCTCTGTCGCTGTCATTTGGAGGGTCTGCTAGCTGGTGCAAAATGTTTCGCATCGCATAGTCTCTACTCATGGCACTGTGCTAATAAGGCTTTATCTTTTTTTTATTCTTTTTTCTTTTTCTTTCTTTCCTTCTTTCTTTTTTTTTTTTTTTTTTTTTTTTTTTTTTTTTTTTTTTTGCATTTGGCAAGAATAATATTGTGCTCCACATCTACTTTGTTTGAATAAATGAAATTGCATTGGTCTTTGGCTTGGCAATTAACTTCCTTCTCATAATCTAAATTAATGTCTTCAGTAGCTCAAATGAATTATTTTTTTAAAGCATCATTTGGAATGTGGAGTAACTATTAACATTAGTGCATATTTAAAGTCCTTATTAATCTTTATTTGGGGTAACTACATTTAGTAAAGTAAAATGACCATCATATCCTTTGCACATCACTTACTACTACTAATTTAAATTTGCTGTTGTGATAAGTAAAAAAGCATTATGTGTATATATACCTTTTACATCTGACCTGAAGTAAACTACTGTTTCTTTCATTCCCTTGTCAGTTCTCTTTTGCTTTCTGCGATCCTCGCCCTCGTTATGCTAATTTATACCTTTATATTTACACTTTCACTTGATAGATAGATATGATGGTCTTTTGACAACCAGCAACTTTGCATGAGCTAGTACTTCACTTGATAAATGATGGGATGACTAGTTGGTCTTTGATGTTTGGTAAATGCTTCTGAATAGAGGGTAACATCACCGGTATTGCACCCGCGCTAAACACTTTGCAAACTAGACCCTTGAAATAACCACAGTACAGAGAGGATGCTCTAGTAGTAATTGACAGGATATACCTTCCAGTCTTCAAAAGATGTCTTTTTTTTCCCAGACTACAGCTGTACATAAATAAACCTTTGATCTATGCACAATATTTTTATTCAAGAAAGTCATTGAATAAAATATTGTTTGTGACCCCCTTTGCTTTACCCTCTTTTTTTTTTTGTTTCCCTGCTTTCTCTTTCTGATGGATTTTCACAGCAAAAAAGGGCAAAATGAAGGGCAAGTATTTTCTTGTTGCTCAATTTCTTTGTTTAGTACACTTGACATATCCACTGATATTTCCGTTCCTATTGGATATTATCCTCTGTGCTTCTCATCTGCTAGATTTTCCTCCATGATCGCTCAAACCTTAGCGGCAAAAAAGGGGGAAAGAATATGCTTGTGTTTTCATTTGCAACCTATTTCACATTCAGGTTTTTTCTGAGGTGTAAATACTTGTGTGTTTGTATGCTTCCTCTTACTAATTTACATCTAATATGAAAAATGTTACTAATTCACTAAAGACATTGATGAGTTTATTGAAATGATTTTCTTTACCATAATATTGATAAAAAATTTACGTTGACATTTTAAATGAAATGACTCTGAAGCAACATTGATATAAAAGATTGGTTACTGTAGGGTGAGTAAATGGGAAACTTCTAAGACAGCATTTTTTTCTGATATAACTGGTGTAATTTGTGTTATGGAATTAAAATGTATTTTGCAATTATATTATGAAGTTTTGAGAACCTTTACATTCATTGATGTGTTTCAATTTAGGATATAAGTACTTCACCACCACCCTCCCCCCCCCCCTTAATAGGTTATCATTCTACTATCTTCCTACTATCATAGAAACTCAGGATGCAGATTGTGGATTGCTTATCTAATCCTGTAATGTTATCTTTGCAGATTCAGAAACACTGAAGCCAGATAATTTTGAAGAATCTGGCTACACATTCATAGCACCAAGGTTGGTTTTGTTTTATATATTTGCTATACCTTGTGTGGATAGGTAAGTCTTTGGTAACAGTTCTGAGTCAGACCCATGCCAAATTATGAAGCCAAGGGAAGCAATAATTTAAAACTGTAACAGTATTCTATTCATTCTATTCATTCATTCGCTCAGTAAGCAACTACTGTAGGCTAAGCAGTGTTGTGATTCAGGCATACAATAGTGAATAAGACAGATGTAGACTTTGCTCTTATTAGAAATAACAGTGTATCCATCAATAATGAAGAGCTGGGTATTTGCATTTGTGAGTACACACACAAACACACTGTACATGATGTAGATTACTCTGTAATCCCCATCATCTATTTGAATCATTCCCCCACCCATCTCCCTTCTAGTAACCATCAGTTTTTTTCTCTATACTTAAGAGTCTCTTGGTTGGTTTCTCTCTCTCTTTTTTCATCCTTTGTTTCTTAAATTCCACATAAGAATGAAATCATAGGGTATTTGTCTTTCTCTAATGAATTTATTTTGCTTAGCATAATACTCTTCAGCTCCATCCATGTTTCCAATGAGATTTCATTCTTTTTTATGACTAATCTCTTGTCTGTATGTACCACGTCTTCTTCATCCATTCATCAGCCGAAGGACACTTCAGCTGTTTCTATAATTTGACTATTGTAGATAATGCTGCAGTAAAAATTGGGGTGAGTGTATCCCTTTGAATGAGTATTTTTGAATTATTTTGGTAAATAACTAGTAATGCAATTGCTGGGTTGTAGGGTAGCTCTATTTTTAAATTTTTGAGGAACCTCCATACTCTTTTCCAGATGTCTGAAATAATTTGTTTTCCCACCAACAGTGTAAGAAGGTTCCCCTTTCTCCACAACCTCGCCAACACCTGTTGTTTCTTTTGTTGTTGATTTTAGCCATCCTGACAGGTGTGAGGTCATATCTCATTGTAGTTTTGATTTGCATTTCCCTGATCATGAGTAATATTGAATATCTTTTCATGTGTCTATTGGCCATCTGAATGTCTTCTTTGGAAAAAATGTCTACTCATGTCTTCTGCCCATTTTTTAACTGGATTATTCATTTTGGGAGGTGTTGAATTGTATCAGTAATTGTATCTTCTGCCATTCTGTAGGTTACCTTTTAGTTTTGTTGATTGCTCCCATCACTGTGCAGAGGCTTTTCATTTTGGTGAAGTCCCAGTAGTTTATTTTTGCTTTTGTTTCCCTTGCTTCAGGAGACCTATCTAGAAAGAAGTTGCTAGGGCCATGTTAAAGAGGTTACTGCCTGTGTTCTCTTCTAGGATTTTGATGGTTTCATGTCTCACATTTAGGTCTTTCATACATCTTTGAATTTAGTTTTATATATGGTGTAAGAAAGTGGTTCAGTTTTCCAAACGCCATTTGCTGAGGCGACTGTCTTGTTTCCATTTGATGTTCTGTCCTGCTCTGTTGAAGATTAATTGGCCATATAGTTGTGGGTTTATTTCTGTGTTTTCTATTCTTTTCTATTGATCTATTTGTCTGTGTGCCAGTACCATACTGTTTTGATTACTACAGGTTTATAATATGACTTGAAGTTGAGAATGGTGATGCCTCCAGCTTTGTTTTTCGTCTTTCCTTACTTCTTGATTCACACTCTGTAGCAGGCACATAAAATAATATTCAAATTAACATAATTCTATTAATCTAAGCTAAACTATTGAAGAACATAGATTCAGAATCGTGTATTACTAATTTCTTACGTTTTATACTTCTTAAAGAAATTACTGTAAGAACCCACAGACAGCTCATAAAATTAAAGAGTAACTCAGACTAATATTTTTAAAGATTTATTTTACTGTTTCTTTATTTTTGAGAGAAAGAGAGAGACAGAGTGAGAACAGGGGAGGAGCAAAGGGAGAGAGACAGTCTGAAGCAGGCTCCACACTTTGAGCTGTCAACACAGAGCCTGACGTCGGGCTCGAACTCACAAACCATGAGATCATGACCTGAGCCAAAATCAGACGCTTAACCAACTGAGCCACCCAGGCACCCCTCAAACTAATGTTTATGTAATCCTAAGGATACCTGAATTTTTGGTCCTTCTTGAAAATGGGGAATACATATAAGGTACATCTCTGTTAATAAAGCATATTCTTGGCTTCATGAGATTCTCCCCCTTGCATTTCCTTCAGTGTTTGATACTGCCCATCCCACAATTCTTGAGTACTCTTTGCCTCCTCTTGCTGTTCTGATTTTCTTCCTCCCTCCCTCGGCTGCATATTCAGTCTCTTTAATGAGCTTCTTTTCTTCTGCAGATCACTTACATGAAGGTGCTAGCTTAAGGTCTCTTATTCTGTGTCTATAGACATACCACCCATCTATCCGATGTCTGTAGTTTGGGGCAATGCTTTTGAAATCCACAAGATGGCCATGATGCCTAGAAACAAAACAGACATAATATGTGGTTTATTGGCATTACATTACAAGATAGGATCAAACATTGTCTACCTACACAATTTGAGACATTCCTGTTTATGGAAGACAACAGGACTATCTCTTCAATGTGTTTCAAAGTCAGTGTCTCCTAGGCATTTGTCTTTGCTTCCTTCCCTTTGTGTCTAACTTTTAATCAGTCACCAAGTCTTGTCAAACAGAATTTATTTTACAGTATCAAGTATATCTGCCAAACTCTGCTGCCTTTGTTCTCATTCAGGCCCGTGCTTTCTCTTTACTTAAACTGGTGCAGCTGCTTCCTGCTTAATCTCCCGACTTCTCCAAATCCCCCTTTCCTTCCAGTCTGGTCTCATTTCTGTAACTAGAGAGAGTTTCTAGAATGTGAATAAAATTATGTTTCTTGTCTGCTAAGTATGAACCAATAGCTCAGTAGTGTCCTGGTGATAATCTGTACTTTATATCACAGCTTTAAACTGTTCTTACTAGGTCCCAGTTAACAGTGTGGTCCTCAGACTCTTCTAAATCCGGGGCCATCAAATTACAGCCTATAGACTGCCTGCTTTATACAAAGTTTTATTAGAACACAGCCATACTTGTTGGATGATGAATTGTCTGTGGCTGCTTTCACTACAAAGGCAGAATTGATTAGTTGTGGTATAGATCTCATAACCCATAGAGTCTGAATCATTTATTATCTGGCCCTTCAGCAAACAGTTGGCCAACCTCTGCTTTAAATTCCAACCACACTAAACTTCTCTCAGTTCCTACATGTGCTGTTTTTTTTTTTCTCTTCTCCTCTAATTTTCTCTTCTGTTTTGGACTGTACTTAGACACACCCCACCCCTTCCCAAACCCCAACTTCAAAGCTCCTTGATCTAGGAATTCCTTACCCATTTTCACTGGATTAGACAGACATCTTTGCTGACTGCTTTATAGAATACTGTACTTCCTTTACTGGCCCATTTAATGTTATTTACTTTCCCCCAAAAAAGCCACAACTCCATCTATTTGACTTATCTAGTATACAGTACCCAACATCACATCCATTGCCTGACACAAGAGTAGGTGCTGAATAAATACATTTGGTGCCTGTAGAATCTATAAATATGTAAAGAATATTTAAAAAATCATTATTAATAATACCTGCAATCTTACCACTTGTCAAGATAAGTAACTGAGCGTCTTAAACTGCTAAAACCAGTTTTAGCTAGAAAGGAGAATATAAAAGAACAGAATAAGAAGAGTTTGAAATTAGATGTGCTATATTGATAAGACTTTCATTCCATCTCAGTTCTGTGTTTTGTCTCTAGGAAGCTTCTTCATTCATCTCTCCCAAATATTGACTAGGAGGCCACACAGACTGACTTTCTGAGCTTTACTGTTAGATAATGTGGAAAATATGGTAGAAGTCCCTGTACTCACAGGGAAGATAAACATATCTTTTAGTTCCGGTTCCCAATTTGTACAAAATGATTGTTCACTTCAGCAAGGATTAACCTATGTACCATTCTTGTGGGATGGCTGAAAGAGCAGAATGTGCCCGTGTGTTTAGGGATGGAGTCTATATGAGAGAAGGGAAGAAATGTTAGAGTTTGTGGGACAAACCAGTGAATATCCACCACAACTAACATGTTAAGTAAGCCTTTTACGTGAATGATTATATTTACTGCTCCAGTGAACTCTATAATAAATTAGTAGTATCATCCCATTTTGCAGATTAGGCAATTTCCTTGCTCTTTCAACATCTGAGCATGTGTGTTGATTATCAAATGCTGATCAATCTCAGAAGACTATCCAGTACCTCTCAGTAAAATATAAATTCTTGGAGCATTATTCCTACCTTTATTTTTTTTTTAATTTATTTTTTAACATTTATTTATTATTGACAGGCAGAGAGAAGAGGAGACACAGAATCTGAAGCAGGCTCCAGGCTCCGAGCTGTTAGCACAGAGCCCGTCCCGGGGCTTGAACTCATGAACTGCAAGATCATGACCTGAGCCGAAGTCAGAGGCTTAACCGACTGAGCCACCCAGGCTCCCCTCCTATCTTTAAAGGACATGCAGTCAAAGGGATGAAAAGTCCAGGGGCGCCAGTATGGCTCAGTCCGTTAAGCATCGACTTCAGCTCAAGTCATGATCTCACGGTTTGTGGGTTCAAGCCCTGGGTCAGGCTCAGTGCTAACAGCTCGGAGCCTGGAGCCTGCTTCAGATTCTGTGTCTGCTTGTCTCTCTCTGCCCCTCCCCCACTCACACCCTGTCTCTCTCAAAAATAAACATTAAAAATAATTTAAGAAAAAAGGGATGAAAAGTGTAAAACATGAAATATTTTTGCTCTTTATCAGAAATGAGAGAGGCATTTCAAAGATGAAATAGAATGAAAAAGAATACTATGTGATATCTATAATTAAATGCTAATTGTGGGAAGAAGTCCATTTTAGCTCTGTCGATAATGAAATGAGTAAAGGTCATGCATCCTTTCTAAACCAAGCCTCTAAACTAATATTTTCCATGAAATGAGAAGTTTGGTGGGTTTTTTGTTTGTTTTTGAAGTTCTGACATTTTACTGTTTTTCATCTGTTGTATGAACCTCGTTATAATAATGGCAGCCTCACATTTATGTTGCTTGATATTTGTTCTCGATTTCCAAACCAGGATAGCAGTTCTCCAAGTATGGTTCTCAGAATCCCATGGGTTCCAGAGGCCCTTTCAGAGAACCCACCAGGTCAAAGGTGTTTTCGTAGCACTGTGAAATGATGTTTGTCATTTTCTTCATGCTGACATTTTCACTGACACTATAAGCAGTGATGAGCTGATACCTTAGCCGAAATCAAGGCAGTGGGCACTCAAGGGTGCTGGTAGCCATCATAATCTTTATAGCCAGGCACCCATGTGAGGGAAAAGCCCGTTTCACTATAAAATACCCTTGATGGAAGCAGTAAAAATTATTAGTTTTATTGAACCTTTACCCTTGAGTAGATGTCATTTTATATTCAGTGACACGAAAATGGAAGTTCTGCATACCCGAGTGCTTGGCTGTCTCACAGAAAAGTACTTGTGTGATCAAATTTAGAGCTAAAATAGGTGTTCTTTGCTCTTTTTCCATGAAATATTTTATTTGACAGAATGCCTTGGGTATTTGATAAACATTTTGTCAATAATCAATCACCTAAGGCTTTCACTTTAAAGACAACAATGGACTGTCGCTAATGACAAAATCTGTGCTTTGCAACAAAATTAAGAATTTGGGGATTCTGTAACTAATGTTTCCCAGGAGTTCGAGACCAGCGATGATATTACTGAATGGGAATTTTCAGTTTTATAATGAGATGTGTCATCATTTGTAAGATCAGCCAATTTTCCAATAATCAGTTTATGATGTTACAAAATCAGATTCGTTTTTTTTAATGTTTGTTTTTGAGAAGGAGACAAAGTATGAGTGGGGGAGGGGCAGAGAGCTGTCGAGACACAGAATCCAGCAGGCTCCAGGCTCTGAGCTGTCAGCACAGAGCCCGACGTGGGGCTCAAACTCACAAGCGGTGAGATCATGACCTGAGCTGAAGTCTGACACTTAACGGACTGAGCCACCCAGGGGCCCCCAAAAATCAGATTCATTTGAAGTTATATTCTATTAAGTCAGGGATTAAAGAGATTTGCAAATAGGCAAATAGAAATTTGCCACTTTTGTTTACTAGGTTATTTTTTAAAGACAACAATTTCTCATAAAAATGTTAACATCTAATGGGTTTCTTCTTGATATTTAGTGAATAATATTTTTAAATTTCTCAATTTCCATATGAAAACTCCAAATATACAACATAAAGCAAGAATAGTGGATTAAGAATGAAAGCTAACCTTTATTGAGCACCTATTGTTCACAGGGAGAGTCCTTAATAAATATTAGATACACCACTCACCCTTTACTTAAGTCAAAGTATTGTTCAACAGGTTGCAGAGTCACTTAAGTAGTAAAAGAAAGTGTTTTCACTTCCTATAAAAGGCTGTGTACTTTTTAAAAAGTTGTGACTTTCACAGCTAATATCCTACAATGTTTTGTTTTTCAGAGATTACTGCAATGACCTTAAGATATCAGATAATAACACCGAATTTCTTTTAAATTTCAATGAGTTTATTGACAGAAAAACGCCAAACAACCCATCCTGTAAGTATACACCCAATTTATAATAATTGCTTCACCATTGTTATATCCAGAGTGGTCAAATCTTGGTTCAGATCAGTGTGTTGGTATGCTGGTTTATTTATTTACTTTGTAAATTTTTAGTGGTAAAATGTAACAGTTTGGCCTTTTATGTATTAAAGAATGTTTCTTTCACTGTGAAGTAAAATCAAATTTTCAAAGCCAAGTATTAGATACCTGCAAATGTTTCAGTGTAAATAGGGCACCTTTACCCTTGATCCTTTCAAATTTAAGAAACTTAATTTTTATGATATTTTGAAAGTTTTTCATTGCATTTTTCTTGCCATATAGAGAAATACATACAGCATTTATAGATTTATCTCTTTCCTCCAATTTATATGAACAGCTTTAAGATGAAGAGAATAAAAACAAGGTATAAATATGTCAGTCAATGGTTTGTTTTCATCCTGACATTCTGTTTTGATCACCATTAACTTTATAGTGTAAAAAAAATGCTTCTGTCATTTTTCACTTTATGAAGTAAAATGTTAGAATAAATAAAAATGTTAACAATTAGCGTTTAACCAATACATTTCTTTCAGAGAAATTTACATCATTCGTAGTAGAAGACTTTTTAGAGATTAATGGTTTCTTAACATTTAAAATCTTAACTGTGTTTTCCTTCTAAAAATATCCTGTAAAAAAAGTACTACCAGGAAAAGATGTACCGGAAATGGGAAATGAGAGGAAAATTAACTGCCTGGCAAAAATTACCTTAGTAAATATAATTTTTTTTAAAAAAAGGAACCATAACTGAGTTTTTTGTCCTTTCCTCCTTCTCCCTTCCCTCTCTTTCTTCTTTAAAATCTTTTTCCTTTCTATCAGAAAGGGTTAAACAAGGCACTTGCTCAGTTACAGGAAGTGAACTGAAGCGTCTCACAAATTAAAATTTACTCCTAAAAAGAAGTAACTTCCTAGCATCATCAACATTAGCTACCAGAGCAAGAATTAGCTGCTCTGAAAACCAGCCAGGGTAGAGAAGGTCTACACTGATCTGACCGAATAGGAGTGTTTCCAAATCTTTCTACTCCTTGTCAGCTCACTCTGAGTCAGAGCCTTTCCATTGTTATGGTTCTTGTTCTTTTCCTTTCAGTAAATAACAGGATTCCCAAGAAAGAACTGGTGTAATATTACTGAATATTCCTTTAATTGGATGCCTCTATGGGCACCTGGGTGGCTCAGTCTGTTAAGCATTTGACTCTTGATTTTGGCTCAGGTCGTGATCTCATGGTTCCTGAGTTCGAGCTCCACACTGGGCTCTGCACTATCAGTACAGATTGAGATTCTCTCTCTGCCCCTCCCCTGCTCACGCTCTTTCTCTCTCAAAACAAATGAGTAAGCATTGAAAAATTAATAAAAATATAAATTGGTTGCCTCTAGCTCCTAGGCAAGTATAAATATGTTGAAACAAAAGTACATTCAGTATCATAGTGCTAATATCCATATCGTCTCTTTTCCCGTGTCTTCATTTCACTTCATGTTTTTTTATCTACCTCCCCTATGATCCAATAGGATGCTTGTGGTACTTAGATAACCATGTGAAGTGTGAGATTTAATTATAAAAAGGTAACAGCTATAAAATTTATATTTTCCTCTGATAGTTTTACATACTGCAGTTTTCTCAATCATATTTTAGGTCATGTTATCAAGTAATATGTAAAACTAAAAGTATCAGTGACTGAAATCTCAGTGGCTTCCTTTAAAGGGGTTTGGGCGATTTTGATTGTGCTTATGGAAGTACTTAATCCACCATTAAAATTAAAATTCTCACTGCTTATGTTCATTTATTACCTAAATGTTTACGCTGTAGAGTCTTTCAGCGTGTTCGTATCTCCTCCCCAGCTCCCGCTTTTTTGAACTATTCTAACAATGAGATTATATGTGTATAAAATGGTAAAGCTCAGTACTGATAACCTGTTTATGTATTATATGCAGCAGGGGCCATATTTCAAGACACATTTTAAAATTACGGTATAATTAAAATATGAATGAAATTGTGAAATTGCTCGCAAGAGTGATTTATACCACAAATTAGAATAATCGTTTCATTTCTTTTACCTAAAACGATTTGCAGCAATTAAATTGCATCATTCACTTTTCAAATGGACTGTTTGTGAAAATGATTAATTTTCTGACATAATATAATGAAAATAGTTCCTAAAATGAAGTCTACATTGTGGATTGCACTGATCCTTTAAAACTGGAAGATATAATAAATTTAAAAAATCAACTAAAATATTTTCCAGTCTACTCCTCACCTTTTACAGTAATAGATATTAAGTAAGACCACATATTCCTTACCTGGATAAAATAAAAATTTTTCATAAATGTGAAGTTTTAGTATGTGTAGGTTATTCACAGTGTCATGGGCTTAAAACACAGGACCAAGAGAAAGGAAAGAAGGTGAAGTTTTTTTGTTTAAGAATATGTATTAATTGACCCTTGGTCATTGCCATCTGCCCTTTCATGACCTTTGAACTTGGGCTATTTTGTTCTCTGGTTATTCCAGAAATGACAGATTCCAAAAGCCAGCCTTGAAATAGTGCTGGTCCGTGCTAAGTTATTCAGTTCTTTCACCAAAGCAAACAAAGAAAAAACTATATTATGTAGTTTTATATTTACATATAAAATTGTCCATCAATTATGATAGATTCGAATCGCCATACTAACCTATAAAAAAGAAGAGAGAGAGGAAGGTTATTTCCTTAATGTTTCTTGATTGACATACTTCACATATCTTTTTGAAAAAATTTACAAAATAATTTTCTTTTAGAATTGGCTTTTCTATTCTGGCCATAGCCTGAAAACTGTGAGGCAAGATGAGCAACAAAAACATGCAGAAAATTAATATTGGATATGGTTGTTAATTCATAGAAATATTATCCACTCTAAATTGATTTAACAAACAGAGAATATATTTGTTTCATTATTATCCTAATGAAAAAACTATGTGGATGTAATTGAGGCTATCCTTTTTCTATATTAGGTAATACGGATTTGATTAATAGAGTCTTGCTGGATGCAGGCTTTACAAATGAACTTGTCCAAAATTACTGGAGTAAGCAGAAAAACATGTAAGTATTTGTTCCTATTTATATATATATATATACACATATATATATATATATACATATATACATATATATATATGTATATATATATATATATCCTGCATTTTAATTTAGCTTTTCTCTGAGAAATTTTTGGAAACTAGGGCTCATAAATTTAAATTTTACTAATTTAATAACAATTTCATCTTGGAATTGTTGACAGCTTGTATTTCCAGTGTTGGGTATGTGTCAGGACTAACATCTACATCTGCCAGTACTTATCTTTCCACACTTACACACTGCAGTGGGAACAAACCAAATTTAAAAAGGCTGAATTTCCATGTTTGTGATAAAATAGGGAAGCTAGTCAAGTGGCCTTTTAATAACACTACTATTCATCCAGTCAACAAACTGAGAAATCTGATTGTGATTCTCATTTACGGTCTCTTCTCCACCCCATGTCCAGTCAGTCACCAAATGCTAAATAGCTCTTCCGACAATGTTGTCCTGTCTTCCTCATAGCCAAATTCATAATTTCCAATTTCTGAGAAATTACAGCACTGCTTATATTCAGTCTATACTCAGGGCCTCCTATTCCTCTACCCACACCCCCTATTCTGTCCTCCATAGAACGCACCCCTGCCAGCCTTCCTCTTAATGCAGCTCCAGTTTCAGGATAAAGGTGAAGCTCTCCAGCATGGATTTCAAGATTATTCATGAGCTGACCCTTCTTAAGAAGCTTGTCCTTGAAACTTTACTATCTGTTGCTTCTCACCTTGCCTTCTGTTTTTATAACACCAAATACTTAACATTCTTCACTAGCTTTCCTGTAACATAGTCTTGGCTCCACATGTAAGATCTTCCTGCTGTCTCTGTCATCTCTGCTAATTCCATCTTCCAAACGCAGCTGTGTTGGTCTTTACTATGAAGTGACCTCGTTAAGCATCCTCCCTTTATTTCTTAGATATTTGCAACATTAAAGCATAGTTTGCATGCATTGATGTATTTACTTTGTCTTCCTTTATGTTAGGAACTCATTTTATTTCTCTTTGTGTCATCAACACCTAAATTATTATCTTATGGAGACCAAGTGAAATAAAAAATTGCCTTCTTCTGTCTTCTGTTTTAGCAAGGGAGTGAAAGCACGGTTCGTTGTGACTGATGGTGGGATTACCAGAGTTTATCCCAAGGAGTAAGTTCAAATAACATCTGTAGAAATCAGTACGTTACACGACTACTCTGAGGATGTGCACATTATAAGGAAGCCATTCTGTAGAGAAACTGATTATTAGATTAAAATGGAGTCATTTAACATTACTTACATTATTAAAATACCCTACTTCTTTAAAAATGCTATTATATGATTATTCAGTGATCCTTTTGGATATTTATTCCAAAATCTAAGACACAGTAAAAGAGATTTTTTTTTCTATTCATACACACTGAACGTAAAGTTTATAGCCTATTGGCAATATTTTCATAGCACCTCATTGTTTTCACTGTTCTTCAATGGATCTTATCTCTGTCTCCAAAATAGTCTGTCACCTAGGGTGGGGAGGCCTATTACTATTAATGGACCTATTAAGTGACTTGTACGTCATCACCTGGATAGTAAAACTGCAGAGTAAAACCAAGAGCTTTTTCTGACCCTTGTTATCTGTTCTATGGTGATTTATTGCTTATTAATGAGTATCATTAGATGTAGACATATCTGTAAAATTCTGTGATGTTCACAGAAAAGTAGGTTATCAGGCAGATTCAAGAATAAAAATGATGAGCCATTTCCTCTTTAGGGCTGGAGAAAACTGGCAAGAAAATCCAGAAACATACGAGGATAGCTTCTATAAAAGGAGTCTCGATAATGACAACTATGTTTTTACTGCTCCCTACTTTAACAGTAAGTATTACTCAGAATTCAGCCATTCTCAATTTCCTTTTTTTAGATAAATTATTACTTCCTGCTTTCCCCAATAACCATAATTGTTCAGAACAGCCCTTATTAAGTGTATAGTATACGTGTGACATTGGAAGGACAGAAGCTTCCATTTAGTTGAGGTAAAATGCACACACAGGAAACAGTCATCCAGTAATGTAGAGATAGCATATCAACAGGTATGCATAATGCATAGAAACATATGTAGATAATCCCTCATTTCACAAACTGCAAATCTATTAAAGAACGTGTAATGAGTTTTAAAGACATCATCAATCAGTTTAGTCAGTTTTAGTTAAATATATTATTTATGAAAATTAGCAATAGGCCACATTTTAAACTATCTTATTGGATTCTTTCCCAAAACCTTTCTAATTTAATCCCTGGGCTTCTCTGGGGGTAGGTGTTATTCAGCCTCATTTTTATAAAAGGGGAAACCAAAGTTCAGAGAATTTTGGCATCTTGTCCAGGGACTTACGTCTAAAATGCAAAGGCTGTTTGGGGTTCTAAGATCAATCTTTCCACCTCAGCAGCCTCTCCACTCAGTTAGCAAATGTCACGAAGCAGAGATTTGGCCTGCGTCCATTATGTTGTGGACATGGATGCAGCCAAGCTGAATAATTCACATCCCACGGACACTCCAATGGGTCTGGTCAGTAGAGGAAGATGAGAGACGACAACCCACCTCCTCATTACTTATCTACACTAGAATACTTAAGCAAAACACCGTCCACCTATCCCTCTTAAGAGAAATTCACTATTTGACTTATCTAGACAGGCCTGTGTTCCTTTTTTGTTGTTGCCTTCTTCTTTTTTCAGAAAGCGGACCTGGTGCTTATGAATCAGGCATTATGGTAAGCAAAGCTGTGGAAATCTATATCCAAGGAAAGCTTCTTAAACCTGCAGGTAAGCGTGTGTATGGTATATGGACATGGCCAAAATTAAATGTGACCAAATATTTCTATTAAAATCTGGCAGTACTTACCAGGAAGGCCATCAGAAACCTTTAAGCAAAATAAAGTCAAAGACAGATACACAAAGTTTTGAAAATAAAATACAATGATTTAGGAGATTGGGGAAAAATAGAACAGATACTATATAGAGGTGAGGGATTTCCTAGATGTGTATGTGTATACACTGCTGCTCAAATTAATGGAGTCAAATCAGAATTCTACATGCTAGATTGATCCAGCATTTCCACTCGGTAAGTCTGTCCTAGAAGATACTTTGAAATACACAAAAGGATACGTGTCCAAGGGTGTGAATATTTGTAGTAAGTTAAACATGAAGAGTTAAGTTTCCATCCTCTAAGGAAAAGATAAATAAGTTATAGCATATATATACCATGTGCCTGATAAAATGAATTAGGTAAGAACCTTATATATATATATATATATATATATATATATATATATAATTACAATAAAATGGAAAAATGATTCTTTTTTTGCCAAAATAAAATCAAGTAAGCAAACAAAACAAAGCATAAAACTGAACATCAATGGGAAATGCAGGTAGGCTGCATTAAGTGGATGCCATCTAGTAGAAGCGTTGTTTTTTGTTTTTTTTTTTTATTGTATGATTCCGTATTTGAATGTGTAAGAGAGTGTACATTAGACCAGATTGAGAAGGTAGATAGATCACTTTCCTTTTCCTGAGGGCTGTTTTACCCCTCAGTGGTTCAACTAGATATTACCTCCACACTAACTCATTGACTGCTTCCTTCATTCACTCAATGGTTCATTTATTCACTCACTCTCCCACCCATCTGTCTGTCTAGTGGACATACATTTCTCAAGCACATGATGCATGCATTGGTGGGGCTAGCGAAGCCTCTTAAAACATTCCACCTGAGTGACCTCATGTTACAAGACTATGCCTGACACTACCACCTTTTTTTTTCCCCTTTAGCTTATTGTATATATGAGTTAATTGGTGAGGTGGTTGCCAACGAGTAAAGTATGTTGTGAATATAAACGAAAGTTATTTAATAGTTTAAGAGCAGTTAGTGGTCTCTTTAATGAAAACCCAAAGAAATAAAATCTCTGTAATAAACATTACATTCAACCCAAAATTTAATGCTACTTTCTACACTACATAAATTATCATATAGCAAATATTATATGGACATTAAAACTGCAACCTTTTCAATGAAGTCCGCTTTTCAACGTATAGCTGAAATTAATTTAATTCCAAGAAATTTAAATTTGCTCAGAAATATTCAAATGTAAGAGGAAAAGTAGATAACTAAGAATCACAGCCACGTTTTTTCTATGTATGTGTCAATTCTTCTTTACATCATTTTTCAGTTGTTGGGATTAAAATTGATGTAAATTCTTGGATAGAGAATTTCACCAAAACATCAATCAGGGATCCGGTAAGATATATATATATTTCCTAACGTTTATGCTACACTCCATGTCAAATGTAAATAAGAAAAGTCAAAGTAAAGTCTTGTCAATGTATAATTTTCAGTGCTACTAAATTAAGAAGAACTATGAATTAATATTTTTGGAAAGACTTTTTTAAATTAGTTAGGAGGAAAAATATTTTGATATAATTTGAAATATTAGTTTAGATAGCTCTTAATATTTTACAAAGATGAAGCTATTGCTTTTTTTATGATGGGATAGACTGTCATTTAATCTTACTTTGATACTAGATAAATTATTCTCAGATTCCTAACATGATAATAATGTGTCATGGAAATTCTTTTTTCTATTAAAAATGTGTGGGGTTAATTGTATTTTTGTCTTTCAGTGTGCTGGTCCAGTTTGTGACTGCAAAAGAAACAGTGATGTAAGAAAATTTTTAAAATTTTAACTGTAATTTTTTGTTACTCTTGTTAAGACTTTAATCATAAAGTCATTGATGAAAGTCATTTGATATAGGAATTTTTCATTAAATGCTAAAAAATATTTTATGAAATTTTGAACTAATTTATAGGTAAGAAGTTGAATAAATTCATTTAATTCCTAACCATTAAAAATATTCACATATTAAGGGAAAGTATTTTAAAAAGCCTGTTTCAGTATGAAGTGTACTCAATGTCAATTGTGTTAGATAGTTTTCTAAGTATCTTTAGCTCTGTTCCTGAGTGGGAAGTTTCGAACTAAAGTGGCCTTACTGGTTATCAAGGCAATCTTTCCTGTCCTTTATAGTTTCTCTGAATTTGTTCACACAGTATTCATAGTGACAAGAAAACTTTTTGAGTTCAATTTTGCCATTATTATTTTTTTATCAAATTCCACTTACATGGATTGGATTTTACATTGTCTCCTGTTACTTCTATTTCATTATGACATTTCTTTGTTCAAATGTTAAATATGTTCAGGCCGCCTGGGTGGCTCAGCTAGTTAAGTGCCTGACTTTGGCTCAGGGCACGATCTCATGGCTTGTGAGTTCAAGCCCCACGTCGGGCTGTGTGCTGACAGCCCCGAGCCTGGAACCTGCTTCAGATTTTGTCTCTCCCTCTCTCTCTGCCCCTCCCCCACTCATGCTCCATCTCTCTCTGTCTCAAAAATAAATAAAACAAATTTTTTAAACGTTAAATATGTTGAAACCTGCTTTGGATTTTGTCTCTCCCTCTCTCTCTGCCTCTCAAAAATAAGTAATTTTTTTTTTTTAAATGTTAAGTATGTTCTAAGAATGATACTACATAAAGTATTCCCAGAATACAAAGGATGAATTCCACTATTTGCTTCCCATCTTCTTATGTGTATGTGTTTATTTCCAAGGCAAACAGTGGGTTCACATCATCTTATTTCTAGTCATGTGAAATTATAAGCCAGCAATGTTATTTTTTATACTCTTTCCATTTTACATAGACTTTGTAAATAGAGACTATAAAGACTGTTCTGAGAGTCGAGGTTTTAGCAAGTTGCTTCCACATGTCCCCAACTCTGAGAACAATGTTTTTAATTGTCATTTTATACAATAAAAATTACTAAACTGATCCATGCATTTAAACATGATACAAACCAGGTGGGAATTGATTTCTTTTGTGTCATGATCTTTTTTGTTTTGTTTTCTGCTTCTATATTTCAAATTATTCAACCAATTTTGATTGAAAATATGAAGTAGTTGTAAATATCCTTATGCTGCATGCTTTTTAATTTAGTCTGAAGCATGGTGACTACAATGCATTTTTAAAGGTATCTTTTTTGTCAAAATATTAAGTGTGTTTTTACATATTATTATTTTGGCTTATCCAATTTCCTGGATCATTTAGATGACCAAATGGCAAAAAGGCTATTTCTGATTTGACCTTCTGATTTGTTCAGACTCAGTTGACAGTTTTAACTAAATGGGTAGTGGTGCAGTATGAAACCCTGAGAATTTGAATCTGTGTGTGTCCTTAATTTATTTCATCAGAATCTCTGGAGCATGTATCTTTAAGTTGAAGTTTTTTCCTATTTTTGTTGTTGTAACTATCTACTGGGGCTCCTGGGTGGGTCAGTCCCTTGAGCGTCTGACTCTTGATTTCAGCTCAGGTCATGATCCCAGGGTCATGGAATCGAGCCCCGTGTCGGGCTCCACATTGACAGCAGGGAGACTGCTTGGGATTCTCTCTGTCCCTCTCCCTCTGCTCCTCCCTTGTGCATACATGTATGTTCTTTCTAAATATATATATATAAAATCATCTATCTAACATAAGGTACTGATAATGAAGCCTCCTAACCTTCCTCAAATTGTGTTCATTGTTATTTTTATTTTTGTAGGTAATGGATTGTGTGATTCTAGATGATGGTGGGTTTCTTCTGATGGCAAATCATGATGATTATACTAACCAGGTAGGTACCACAGTGGGACAAAGTAGTTTCCAAAGTGTGTTTCCCTAATCGGCATTACAAAAGTCCTTCAAACCGTTATAGAAATTAATGAGTTGTTATATTTCTGTCATAAAATAAATTTTTAAATGCTAAATATAATATAAACCATTAATGAATACATTCTAAATACAGTTTCCTGATATTAGTTGAATTTCCTTTCTAGTCATAACAGTTACTATTAAAACATGTAGTTATTGGGGCGCCTGGGGTGGCACAGTTGGTTAAGCGTCCGACTTCAGCCAGGTCACGATCTCGCGGTCCGTGAGTTCGAGCCCCGCGTCAGGCTCTGGGCTGATGCTCGGAGCCTGAAGCCTGTTTCAGATTCTGTGTCTCCCTCTCTCTCTGCCCCTCCCCCATTCATGCTCTGTCTCTCTCTATCCCAAAAATAAATAAAAAAACGTTGAAAAAAAATTAAAAAAAAAAACATGTAGTTATTATTGTCGATCTCTCAGAAATTGAGAAAATGTTTGCATATTAAATATTTATTAATCAGTAATATCTAACTTAATACATGGCTGCTTTGAACTGATGAAGTTTCTATTCCCAAATTTGCAAGTTGGCAGCACATAGGCTATTTGGCTCAAATGGGATTTCAAGCAAATTAGAATTCGTTGCCAATTAATTTCATTTCCCAATCTACATTTCTGGTTTCTCTTTAAAAAGAAAGGATCTTGGGGCGCCTGGGGAGCTCAGTCTGTTAAGAGTCCAACTCTTGCTTTTGGCTCAGGTCATAGTTGGTGAGACTGGGCTCTGCGCTAACAGCATGGAGACTGCTTGCAATTCTGTCTCTCTCTGTCAAAGTAAATAACTAAACTTCTAGGAACAGAAAAGATAAAATTGGTCAACACTGAGCTTTTTCTTAACTGGCCGTGTTTGTGGACTGCAGTTGATGAGCCTCAGGTTTGCTCCTAGGTTCCTGTTCTTTCTCTAATATCACCCATTTCTCTCAGTCACGCTGCTTTCCTCTTCCCCACAAGGAATTCACTTGTGATCTTAATGCTTAGTTAACTGTGTGTATTCCTTCCACATGCATCACACCAAGCCACGGAGCAAATGCGAACCCCTAACTAAGCTCTTCTCACTTCTTTCGGAATATCCCGTGCAGCTTCATTGCTTTGGTTTTTAAGCTCCAGTAGTTTTAGTTGCTAGTTCGTCTTACTTCTTTTCGTCGCAGTGGTCGGGGTGTTAACATGTGGAGTGAATTTGAAACTTGATTCTTTTGTCCTCTGTTCCAGATTGGAAGATTTTTTGGAGAGATTGATCCAAGTCTGATGCGACACCTGGTTAATATATCGGTTTATGCTTTCAACAAATCTTACGATTATCAGTCAGTGTGTGAACCTGGTGCTGCACCGAAACAAGGAGCAGGGCATCGCTCAGCATACGTGGTCAGTAATTTCCACCTCGTCCATGCCTCTCGCAGGAACACTCAGTGTCGATTAACATAACGACTTTTTCATTATTTTTATAGCCATCAATAGCCGACATATTACACATTGGCTGGTGGGCCACTGCAGCTGCCTGGTAAGTCACAATTGTGTTTTTACTGGTAATGAGAAAGGGGCGGTGAAATAGTAAAGAATTTGAGGACAGTCCAGATTTTGTGACACGTGAATAATTGTTATGGAAACTACTGTTTGTTTCCTAAATGACATACTGGTAGTTTTCACAAAATGATCAATTTAACACTGTTACTGTCACTTGGTTTTTCATATGAAAACAATATGCTCATGCAGACTTCAGCCTCTTCAAGATCTGTTGAAACTTTATACCCAATTACCTAAGTTTTAGGTGTATCAATCTATTAAAGGTTTCAGTTAATTGCCTTCAGTATCCAAATTAGATGTCTCCGTCATCAAATTCAAAGCATCATGACTTATCTTTTCAGCTCTTTCCTATTCCAACAGAGGCTGGCAGAGTTTTAGAGGCATCATGTTGCTGAAATGGATCTAATTCTCTCTTTTTACTGACTTAACCTCCCTACCTCCTTCAACACCTCACCTACACCCTACCACCTATGAAAACAATACATTTAAACTGTTTAAGGCACTGTGGAAAGTCTGTAAGATCAAATGCATCATTGTTGGGCTCTGGTCAGTCAAGTAACTCAAACTCCTTTTGTGTCTGGGATCCCTCGTCTTCCTTCTTTCCCTTCTTTTTTATCATTGCCCAAGCCTTATGCCTTGTAGATTAAACTTTAACGTTCGTTTGATGGTGAGGCTTTCCCAGCAAAAATCATATCAGTCTACCAGTTTATGAAAGTAAGAAAGATTTTAGATTAAAAATCCTATTTTTGGTGAAAAATGGCACTTTCTATTGTGATAGTGATATTAAATATTAATTTACTCAGGCTTTTTAAATCTCAAAGTAATCCTCATTACTTTATGATTGGCTTTATGCTATTTTCTGGCCAGAATTTACCTCCTTCACCCCCCCTTTTTATTTTATTTTTTTCCTGAATTCAATTCCAGATGATTCTATACTAATATTTGGTTCAAGTGTCATTTATTGGAAAAACTGAAATGTGCCAAGTGTCCTATATTTAACAGGTATATATTTTAGTTCATGAATGTCACGTTATGTATTCACAGATACAGTCTATATTGTAAAGTAAATGGTTTGCAAACCCATGGCACAAAATCATTTTTGTTTGATCTTTTGCTTTATTCCACCATAGAGTTCTAAAACTAAAATAAGCACCCCTGAATGAGAAAACTATGGCATGAAATATTAACACTTTTCCTAGGTACCACTTTCCATGATCTCATTTCTTGTTAGGCCTCTTCACACTTAAGTGGTCCCTCACTCGGTCCTTAACATGTCTGACTTCGCAACTTCTTTTGCAGAAACAAATGTACGGTGTTTTGTAAAGTTTAAGAAATAATTATATAAAAATACTCCTCAACTTTCTATTGGCAAGGTCTCAACTTTTTCCAAGCAGATGAGGAAGAAATGTGTGTGTGTGTGTACCTGCAAGATTATTCGGGTTTTTACTGCATTATTTGTAAAGGAAATATGTAGATTTTTGTCAATAATAATTTGTATTTGCAATTTAGGTCTATTCTACAGCAGTTTCTCCTGAGTTTGACCTTTCCACGACTTCTTGAGGCAGGTATGTAGTTACTCAGCTATTGTCCTAATAAAATTTTGTTTGGGGATGTGTTGAGTTCCCCTGACCCAAGGATCTGGAAACTTTTTTATGTCATGTCGGCCTCTATTTTGTAACTCTTATCTGTTGGATTCATTGCTTCTCTTGACATTTAATGGGCGCCTATGAGGGACTGCCACTACGTCAGACAATAAATAAGCCGAGCAGGGGGCCTGCCCTTAATACATGCGCTTTGCTCCATGGAAATGAAGGCTCTTGGCACTGACTGTAGCGTCCCCTCCTGGTGATCTTTGTTTTTTCCACAGTTGAGATGGAAGATGATGACTTTACAGCCTCTCTGTCAAAGCAGAGCTGCATTACTGAACAGACCCAGTATTTCTTCGATAATGATAGTAAATCATTCAGTGGTGTGTTAGACTGTGGAAACTGTTCCAGGTAATTTGTTTCTTCCTTTTAGGGATAGTGTGATTTCACTAAGAAATTGTATTCGCTTTTATAATCATTACAGAAAATAACAGAGACTGTTATTAGAGTGTGAGAGAGACATGAGTAACTATTTACAGTTGGAAATAGATCTTTAGTTTTGCTGAATGTTGTTTTTTTAATTTACATTCTTTAGGATTGATCCTAACTGGTAAGTGGTGATCCTTTTGACTATAATAATAGGGTGAATGAAATTCTACCTACTTTTAGGCAGAACAAAGAGAAATGTGGTTATATTTTAATGTCTTTTTGTCTAAAAAGAGAACCCCTTTAAAAGTGTTTCTAAAGTTGTAGAACAATATGAACTGTAGTAAGATTAGAATTAATCGTCATTTTGAGTAAGTCTAAGCTAAATACAGGATTTCATTTTACAGTTACTTACTAAATAGGTGTATACAAAGATAGTCTAGGGAGGGACGTGTTTTACTTCTACTCTTCACTGGAATTTAGAATTGCATGTATTTTTGAATTGAAACTAAAAGAACTAGGAGAAAATATCACTTCCTAAAATCAAAGCTAAGGTGAGTCACTAGCAGACATAAACATGTTTAGCCATTTTTGGAAGAGATTGAGAATTTAATTTGGCTAGAAGGGATAGAAGAAAAAGCCAAGGTGGGCCTTTTCAAAGTCATGAGAGAGAGTGATAATCCATGTCATAGGATCCCTGAGAATGGGGGGGAAGGCACTTTGTTTTTAGCGGAGGAGGGCAGGTTATTCTCGAAGAAATGTTCATCTAGGAAAGAGGAAATGTGTGGAGGTGAGGATATCTGAGCATGTGAAAGGGCTGGAAGAGTTGCTAAGAGATCCAGACTTTTCTAACAGAGAACTGTTTTCTGGAAGGAGTTAAATGAAACTAGTGTGAATTTTTAACAGACCTGGTCCGTATGACTTTATGATTTACTTTAGCAAACCTCTGTGTCGTAGCAAGACAGTCTATCCACTTTAGCAAACAGTTTCGTAATCCTTTGGCCTTTGATTAATAGATGTCATTGATGGCAATCTGCTTTAAAAATTGACTACAAATCTTTACAATTTAAAGTAATCAGGATATTAAGTGGAATCATGGTTGCTTTTGATTGGCTTTATCCGTGTGCCCCAAGTTCAATGGAGAAAAAGAAAATCATTTTCTTTTTAAAATACATCATCATAAAGAAATTAATCTTCAGTGACAGATTAACATTTCTATTCGTGGTTGCTAACGGTGGCAGAAGCAGTTTAAGACATGCAAAAAATACGGCATGGAATTTCAATCCCTTATTCTGTCTATATCTGTGTTATCCAGTTCAGTACTTACCAACCACTGGTGGCTGTTTCAATTATAACTAATAATACACATTAGTGCCTCAGCCACATTAGTCACGTTTCAAATACTCGATAGCCTAGTGTGGCTATTTACCATATTGGAGAAAGCAGAAAACATTTCCATCTTCACAGTAGTTTGGTGAACAGCACTAGTCTAGATTTACTTTGCCATTGGCTTGGGCAAGATGCTTAGTGTGGGCTCCAAAGCTTTTAATGTGTAAAATAAGGTCATTTTGTTTATTTTCAGTAATAAATACCACAGTTCCTTAAGCATGTCAAATAAAACCTTTATTCTACGGGTTGCAACAACTCAGCAGTGCTTATTTTGCATTGAAAAACAAAGGTGACACCTAAAACATGTGTTGCAATTTTCTAGTATCCAGAGAGGTAATACACTGTGCATGCTAATAAATAAAACATGGTGATGTTTTCCTTCTACGTATTCTCATTTTGTTTTACTGTTTATGTGGGTGATGCTTTGTGTTTCAACATGTCATATTATATGTAAGAACCTTTGAAAGATTTTAATTTTTGCCCAAAAGAAAAAAATGCTCATTTTCTGTGATTTTTATAACTATTTCTTTTGCAGAATCTTTCACGTAGAAAAACTTATGAATACCAACTTAATATTCATTATGGTTGAGAGCAAAGGGACTTGTCCCTGTGACACACGACTGCTCATACAAGCAGAGCAGACTTGTATCCTTTGACATCAGAAATGCTTGGAATCAAACGCGGTCTTAAAGTAATGCTTCTTTAACCTCATCACACTGATAATGCTCATCAAGAGAATAACATCACACAGCATGCCGTGATTACTTCACACAGGCAGAATGAACCTCTCATGCAAAATGTGGTTCGAATGTGTAGACTAATGATGCCACCCAGGCACCAAGAGAATGTGAACAGTTTCTTGCTCATATAATGAGGCTTTGTGGAGGAGGCAGTGCAGTTTTGCAGGTAGATCTGGAAATTTCGGCTTGCATGCAGGCAGGGGCAGCTGGCTTGGGAATTTATCGCCATTAGGGAGTAGTGCTGGGTTTTTGCTACCTGGGACTTGTGTGGCTGGAGAGCTGTCAACATTCCATAGTCAAAAAATGGAGTTGAATATGGTGTACATCTACGCCGAAATATTATTCAGCCTTAAAAAAGAAGGAAGTCCCGTCATTTGCTGTATCTGCAGTGGCCGTTAACACCAAACTGCTTATGCTTATAAATATGCTAAATGACAGCCCAGTGACTGTTAAAGCATCGTAGACCAGACCGCCTGTCCTTTTTTCATTTATTCATGTTGTTTCGGAGGCGGGGGGGGAAGGGGGGGCGGGAATAGTCCCAGCTGTGTTTGAAATTGGGGTTTATTGTTACCAATGAGTTTATATTTCTGTCTTGCTACATAGGAGCACCCTTGTGCGGGTTCACATGTATGGTTCCATCTTATTTGCTCATTTCAGCCACTTCTATCTTTACAGGTAACTGTTGAGTAATTGCATCTGCCAAGGGCCACACCGTGTAGAGTAAAAATAAAAACCACAGTGATCTCTTCATATAGCCACTAGTGTGACAAAAGAATTTATGTGGCGGTTTACTTCCTTAAATCCCTAAGTACTTGAACTAGTCGTGTGGGACTAGACTAATGGCATAGGTGTCTGTTCCTTGCTTTGGGAAATATTTTTTTTTTTAATAGTGTGGAAAGAACAAGTAATTTCGTATTCCTTAACAAGTTTCTTTAGCTGATGGTCCAGATCCTTGTGATATGGTTAAACAACCCAGATACCGAAAAGGACCCGATGTCTGCTTTGATAACAATGTCTTGGTAAGACCAAAGGTTTATTGTATTAAAATATTCTATCTCAGTAGTCATTGTCTTCAGGAACTTAAGGAAACAAATTACATTTTTAACTCAAACATGATGTCTTAATCATAGTGTTTCTCATTAACATGATGTACTTGCTGGTAGATAGATTTTTCATTTCAATACTGTTCATGGTTAGTGTAAGCTCAACAGTTGCTTCTTCTATCTGTCCTTCCAACAGAAACTGTACTTTCAAACACAATTCCCATCAATTTACTAACAATCCTAGGTCACCAATCTGATGATTTGAAACATTTTCTCATCAATAGTAATTACTGTAAATGTTATTTATGATGTGATTTGCCTCCCTTCATTGATACTCCAATCTTTAAGATACAAAATTTATTTTTACGTGTTTCTTTAGTCTTTATTTGGTATGTTTAAAAATTTGTGACATAGCTAGTTTCCTGATATTTTGTAATTCTCCTTTTTTTTTTTTTAACATGGCTCCTGACTCTGTCATAGATTTGTATTATTTCTCTTAATTGCATTTTTACCTTGCGTGTATTAGACCGGGTCAGTTACAGAGGGCTAAGTTCATAAAATTTTGCAAAACATCTTATGTCATGTAAAGATGATTGCTGCTTTTCCTATAGGTCAGCTGTCTTCCTCCAAGAAACAATCTTCTGACATACTATGCATGTAATCAGCTTTATGTTTTTAAAACCATTTTAATTAAGAAACTTGATTCTCAAATGTAAAGGCCACACCACAATTCTGCCTAATGTGAAAAACGAATTTTAAATACAACATTTCTCAATTCTGCCTCTTCAAGGTGTGCCTTTGCATTAAGTGGCTTGCATACTCCAATGAGCATACAAACTGAGAGCGTAATCATCTTAGGAATTGTTTATTCCCAAAAAATGTCAGATCACCTATTAATGTATGTTTATAGAGGTTGTAATTTATTTAGAATAGACTTGTCTAGTATGTACTTATTTACTCAAATACACAGAAAAAAAGGGAATTTTCATAAATATTATCCAGTTAGCTATGATTAGAAGAGGAACAAAAAATAAGTAAAATCAGTAATGAGGAATAAGACTTAAAAAGCAAGAGGTGTTAGCCAGGAAACCCCCGTTATCTCTGCAAGGACTACTGATCATTCCTCTTTGATGGAGAAAGTGATTCCAAGTGGCAGCTAGTTGTTTTTCTCCATTTTATGCGGTTAGACTTCAACACAAATCCAGATATGAGGACTTTTGTTGTTCTATCTACTCTATTTTCAGGACTTTGACCCTGTCAAATCATTCCCTTAAGAATGAATGTGGGCCCAAGGATGGTGGTGCTCATTAGGGGAAACTTCACTCATCAACCACTGGTCACCAAAGCCTGAGATTAAATTCACTCAAATCAACTTCAAAGATCACATAAAAACCCTATTACCTAAAATGCTTCCAACCTAGGAGACTCTATGTTTTCATCAAGGCACGAGAAAGATTGGACAGAGACAAATTTTCAGTAATTCAAATTCCTGTGAATTATACATCCTACTGTGTGTGAAAGTACAGCTCTTGCTCAGTAGCTTAACTTGCTAATAATGTCTTGTGTTCCTTTAGCAGTGAAATGTTTTGGTAATGCTTATTTGCAATGGTCACTGTGACCCTGCTCTGGATGGAGGCTCACATAAACTGCTAACTGCCAGCAAACTGCATGAAATCTCATCTTGTATGTCTTCTTTTCTGTGTTTTCTTTCCTTTTCCTGTACTTGCTACTTTGCCCGTTATTAATAGGATCAACTTATGTGCACAACGAGTCGTGCCTGTACCATGATGTCAGCTCCTATCTCCATTTTACTGCAAGTTTTCATGTGGTGTGGATGGTCAGTCACTTTCTCTAATTTTTCTTTTTGTGTGTGTTTGGCTAGAAATTTTAATAAATAATCCATGTCCCTAAATTCATTATAATAAATGTCCTGAAAGCAGGTTTTTAAAATTCCAGTACTAATATTGTTTTGTAAATAGCTGAATTCAAATATGGCTTAAGTTTCTAATCCCAAACCCGGCATATCCTTTTCCTATGTTTATTTAAAAATCAGTATTTTCTTATAAGGTTTTGTATAAAGATTAAATCAGTACGGGAAAAATTATATGTTTCTTGATGTCTAGCTTTTTACTAAAGAAAAATACCCTGAGGATGATTATTAGAGCTGGTCATCTCAATTTTCAAAAGATGCTAACATTAAATTAATGAGCCATTTCAATTTTATCAAACATTATTTTCTAAGTCAATAATTCTATGCTTTCCTTTCTTTTTAAAACAAATATGACTTAATCAACTTTTTATATTTTTTACTACCACAATATTGATGCTATTAAAATATTTTAGTACAAGTGCTTCCAATTTCTAAGTTCATTTTACTTAGAATGACTTACAGTATCTAGGCTAAAATTATCACTTATTAACCTGTGACCAATTTCTGGATTATATTATTAGTATGACTGCATAGATGTTGTAGGCCCCAAGCTTGTGTTCATGGTTTCACTTACAGCTTTGCAGTTTCTTCTCTGATGCTCTGGGATCCTCATGGTTAGTGTTACTAGAGCAACTTTGATGGTGTTCTTTCTTCACTGCTCTCCAGGTATTCGTTGATTAGGAAACCACTAGATGGAGATATGGCCATTACTGTGAGTGCTGTGTGCTCATCAGAGGGGGAGAAAAGTGGAATATCAGAGGGAGTCTCAGAAAACTAGTTTTTTTCCTGGGCTAATAACATAATAGTCTTCATGGCACAGGATTCCAAGTGAAAGAAACCTAGCTGACCTGGACAATTAAAAGACCAAAATGAAATGATCCCTCTGCATGAACCTGTGTTTTCAATTGATAGAGAGGTAGCTCTCTGAAGTTATGTTTTGTGATTATACCATTTACATATGAAAAGTGTAGTGAAATCATAGGTTCCATGTTGTCTTTTTTATACCTGTCTCTATTTGTGATAATAGAAATGAAAGTAAAACATAAGGGTAAAAAATTATCACATTATATTCTCTAGGTGAGGAATAGTATAAATATTTACTCTATTTTCACCTTTGATTCAGAAGTTTACTTCTCAGTCATAGAATTTTTAGGTAAGATTTACAGGCTACATAACTATAGGTCAGCTCCCTTGGGAGGTAAAAGATTTTTACCTTTACCTTAAAAATCTATAGGTAAGAATGCATTTACTTTTTTTCTTCTAAGACTCTCCCCTCAAAAATATGATTGAATTTTTCTTTGATATTTTTCTTTCTCACCATAACTATAACTTTACCAAGAAAATAAATAGCATTGTGGATTCAGCTGGATGGGATCAGTACATCTTAATGAAATAATTTTTGAAAGATGAAAAGAACACACCAGGGATTTCCTAATATTATTGTGTCCTTGAGGAATATATAATGAATAGTCCTGAGAAGATGATGTAGAGGGCATATACTTTACATTAATAAGACTTAAGTATTTAGAAACACAGTTATCAGTACTGAACAGTGAATCTCGTCTATGCAATGTGAGTGTTGATATAATATCAAAAGAAGTATCATTTTCTCTGAAACAATACAGAGTTGAAAAAATAATACAAATATTACCAAAAAATACTGAGGATAATTGGCCGTGGTTCCTCACACTGAAGACCAATAGAGGTCAAAGTCTAAGCTTCAATGCTAGCCTAGCTACCCAGGAATGTGTGGTGGGTTAGTTTCTGCTCACAGGAAAGCCGGGATGCTGGTGTCATCTCTGACATCTTCTAATGGATGGTATCTAAGCATTTATAGAATGACTGTCTAAAGATAGGACTCTTGTATCCTGTGCAATCCAAAAAGAGTATCAATTATAGATCACTAGGACTTCATTAAAACCCAAGGGTCCAAGTGAGACCTTTTGACAAGAGCTTTGGGGCAATTTAAGTGGTAAAGAACAAAAGAAAAATAAAGCCATGGTTTATCAAAGCAAGCCAGCCAGTAATATGTATCATCGATAAAGTTCATTATTTTATGCAAACTGCAAACCTAATTTATGAAAGATTACTGGGTACATGAAAAATGAATGTGTAGGTACGTGTATGTAGACAATACACACATGCATTTGTGTAGTTGAACACATATACTACCTACTTCATGAGTTAGTGTGGTTACTGTGTTATGGTGCAGTGTAGAAGAACAAATTGTTTGTTAGAGAACTTATTCCTATTAAAAGTCTTAGACTGTGTAGTTCCATCTACCTAAATAATTTTAAAAATACATTTTCTTTGAAGCTGCTGTAGGTGACTTAACTACAGAGCAGTTTAAATTAAAAAGTCAGCCATTATTTGGTGCATGTCTTCACCAGCGACTTGCCTTTTGAACATAATGAGTATAATTCAGAAAATATTGAGCTCTTACTATGTGCAATTAGTCACCGTGGTGATTCTGGTTGGGGAAAGAAAGGGCAAGTTACGTGTTTCACAAGAGAAAATTGAAAATATTTTAGCCACTAGCATGCATGGTCTTAGAGAGCCTTGGGGCAAAGTCATATGCATATAAGTACAATTTAGGTGTTGTTTCTTTTAATGAGTAATGAAAAAGGAATTCTCTGCTGATATGTTTATTAGGAGTCTTTTGAGAGAAGTCTCTAGAAGAAAATTGAAAAAATTACCATATTTTAAAAACAAGTACATATAGCATTAGCACTGTATCATTTTTCTACCTGAGTGTGTTAAACTGAAACAAAGTACCCATCTTTAAAAATCAGACTGATTTACTTGCTTATAATGGTAGTGGGATTTTTGGTCTATCTTTAAGGTGGAGAAAATGCTAATGTTTCTCCCACATCTGAGCATTTGTGATTTAAAATGTATCTCTTATTTCATAGAATAATTTCAAGTCTTGGTGTATGTAGTTGTCCATGTAAAACACATGAGAAAAGATGACAGGAAACTGAAGAGGCAGATTTGTTTGTGTGAAATCAACTTGCAGACTTGAGGGACTCCAAATAACTTATCTCAC